CTTGTTGTTGCTGGGAAAAATCGCTTTTACTCGCAACTAAATGTCCTATCGATTTTCAGTACTTAAAAATGGGTAAAACTGTTAAAAATTATTACTTTTATTTCATATTCTTTCTTGTGTGACCCAATAGTACACTTGAACTTTTGCTGTTTTTTTAATTCATGGGATACTTTCTATAAATACAATTTGTGACCTCCGTGTCCATATGTTTGAGCATTACTCATTTGCATTGGTTGGCAATGCACCGTTATATTTAATTTTTCAAACGAAATCAATTCAACTATAATACCAGTATTCGTACAACCCTGAATTTTCGATTCCCCCATATTCCAAAATTCACGACAAATTCCAATTTTTAAATCGTATTATTATGAATCATTTAGGGTTAATTAGCCAACAATTTCTACCACAAAACGTGAAAATTGGTGATTGTATGTCGCGACTTGTGCAAATACCATAAAGTTAATGACCAAGATTATAGGCTGAATACAAAATTCACAGTTATTATCTAATTTTTAGTTTCAAGAAAATTCTGAGATGCGGTTCTTCGGGCTTCTCGGCCATATCAATAAATATTTTAAAGCTTTTATCTATTGAATATTCGAACCCACTGGCACATTCGAAAATTACTCAACTCAAAAAATTAGCCTTGTTACGTCTTGTTGGACACGTTTAGTGGACATAACGATCGTTTCAATATTATGTTATTATTTGTCTCCATCATTTTCAAAAAATCGCTTTTCTCTTCGAATACTGGACCAATTGCTTTGAAATTTTCAGTGGTTAAAGATAATTTTTTTCGCTATGACGTCATCAAAATCATTGTCATTGGGTGGCGCTACGTGTCCATATATTTGAGCCTCTCTTGTTTGTATTATGACGTAATACATTTTCAACTGTCCACCCAAATCGATGTCGAGAAACTTTGACATGTTTCATCATTATTGAAAGTCTGAAACAACGCCAAGTATGAAAATCCGGATCCGGTGAATAAAGCCAGACTCTGACTCCACAGTCCTAGTTCAAACCACATTTCTCCGAAGTGTTCGTGTGCTATAATCTCGCACGCAACATATAATTATCTTTAATCGGCCACAATTTCATAGATATCTTAAATACCGGTATAATTTCCGACAATTATGAATTCATATTTACATAAGAAGTGAGATATTATCTTTCATTCTTCCCGTTTGGTGATGACGTATCTGTTATTAAAGAGCCCTTACATCATGTAATTAACAGATTTAAGAATGTGAACTCTTCGCAGAAAACTGTTACAGTTTCGGATCCCTAATATTCGTCTTTTTTCTGTAAGTTAATCACTAGTTAGAACAAGAGTCGATAAAGCCGATTTTTTTTTAACGAAATAATATTGCAAATTCAATGCAATTCTAATTGTTGAACAATACATTTACATACGGATCTTTTTCTGAACTGTTTTTTCTTTTATTGTTGCTAGGTAAAATGTCGATTTTGTCGAAAACTACTGGTCCAGGCGATTTTAACATTTAAAGATGGTCGAAGCCACTATAGAAAGATATAACTTTTTTGACATCCCAGTTGTAAGAGACATACAGAAAAACTGCTTCTCTGTTTTAAGAGTGTGTCCACACACCATAGACGTGATGCAAAGCAACGATATCGGAGCCAATATGTGCGTGAGATTTCAGGAGTGCCCACGCGATCGAAATTGCGAAACCTGGCTTAGATCATCGCCCGGGTTTAGTTCCATATATTGGCACTATAGGTTTTGAGTTTCACATGTGTGTACTAATATGGAGGTAACTAATTTTGTTTGCCTACTTTACATCAAGTTGTGTAAAGGGAATAAAACCTTTTGGCTAACACAGACAGTCCCCGAACTCGTAATATAATTGAAATTAGAATATAGGCCCTAACCCTGACCTGGTTGGTACACACACTACGGGAGTACCGACAATGCCAAATCGCCTAATAGTGGGACTTTTCATTCCGTTATTTCATCACACGTAAGTAGCCAAAAATTCTGGAACACTTACAACTTGTACAGTGCCTTGTTTGGAGCAGAGTCGTAAAAAAACATCGTTTAAAAAATATGTCATTTTCAATCAATCTGACCCAACAAGAGCTCAGATAATAACAAGATGAAATGGTTAAAAAACGTTACAGGGAGATTGCGATCATTTCATGTCTCATATGAGCATTTTACATGATGCACAAACGAAATAGCGATCGGAGACCGCCGACTTATCGATCTATCGGCGTGTATCCTCCGCTCTGGCTCAATAGCGATACCGCGTGTCCCATCAGTAATTAATTAATAACTCGCTAATTATAAGACATTCTATAGAAATCAACAGGCTTCTGTTCCGAGATATGATGAATGCACATGCAAAACTTGAAGATTTCGTCAGATATCGCGTAACATACGAAAGTGTCTAACAGATACAAAATGCCTATCAACATACTTATCGATCGAGATCAATAAGTAATCAATTGAACTCTTCTATACGACTGTTATTCACGACTTTTGTTCTGAAGAAGGCTTTGAATAAGCAGTCATTGATATCTAACATTGTTTTCAAAAGGACTGGAAGCTGTCAGGTTCAGCATTGCCTGCCTAATGTATTACACCCTTTATTACACCAAGGTGATGTTCATTTCATTCGGAGATGTGTAATCCAGTTCTGATGTCACCAGAGTTACGTCTAACAATTTAGGTGCTGGGCCATCACGTCAATATAAGATATACGGTGTATTAAAAAAAACGTAAAAGAAAGCCACATCAAAAAATATTTCTCAGTTATCGTTCGAGTCACTTTTAAGATGAGCTTTCTAATTATATTTTTGGACATCAAATTTTATTTAATAACCATGCGCTGTAGATATATCATTTTTCGCTGCCGAAATGCGGGCCATCGCTGATTTACATTTAAAAGAGTGCTATCTGTTACCATTGTATTATTAATGGATTGGAATTATCTTTTGCCAAGTATTTGTCATTGATTATCAGTCGCCATATCGGTGGAATCAAACTTGACAAAACATAACTGCTAAATATTTATTCTATACACATTTTCTTGTGGGATGTGGGAATGTGGGATTTCCTGTTATGATGACTGTGTGTTTCAAAGGAGGTTTATCCAAATGTGTCAAAGTTTTCGTGGGAGTTTCGGTAGAAAAAATTCAGAAAGACCATTTGTTTATTCAACAGAAAGACTTTTCGCTATTATTATTAATTTTATTACCGGTATGAAAAAAAAACGTTTTCGTTACAGCTAATATACCAATCGATTTCAAATTATTAGTACGTAAAGATGGATGAAACCCATAGAATACTGTCGATACCTTCGAGTCCTGTTGGACCGATATTTTTGCTGTATCTATTTTAAATGAAAAGATCATGCGTGACTCATCCGTCGAAATGATTCGCTGTTCTTTTCAGCTTACTACATCAAAAATTGACATAAACACTTTGTATTTTATGCAAAACGCAGTCATTACATATCTTACTGTTGTATTGGAGAAATATCGAGATTATATATCGCAGCCAAATCGTTAAATAAACCATTTTGGTACCGAAGTAAACGTTGTCAACACAATATAAGCTCTTAATTTGATATTCAAAATATACGCTGTAGTTGACTTAGTCGCAAAGATTTGACTCCACTTCAAAGTTTAAAATTTACTGGGGCTGAAACTTTAATCAAGAATCGAATAAGGCGTCACTCGCCTTGTCTGGTGACACAAAATTCAAGAACTTATACGAACAATGTCATAACTCCAAAGCAGTATGTTCCGCAGCTTTAAGGGGAGGAGGGGAGGGTCTAAATTTAGGGGGTGGTAGATATTTCGTTAGTAGCAATAAAACTATTTGTAATGTATAAAATCTATTATGTCTTTGACTGGCCAGCTGTATAGACAACTTTCTGGATGTTTTAATACAAATATTTGAGTTAGGAATCACAGCGTGATGTTACATCTTGAAATGAAGAGGGGGTCGGGAGTTGAAATTGTGCGGGGATCATACGCTATATGGGGGGAGGCGCTGTTCTCAGGGTGAAGTCAAATCATGACAAGCGATGGCTCTGCTTTTAAATACGCATTGACCCCTGATACACAGATGGTGCCATTATTAGAATGGAATGATATTTTTTTTTAAATATTTATCCAAGGGAAAGGAAAGCCGATAAGATGGCTGAATCATATGGCGTAGCAAGGTCTCTCGTTCGATTACCAGTCCGTTTCAGATTTGGGAATAGTTTGTTAGACGGTTATTTCTTCAGGTACCTGGGCTTGATCTGAGTAGTATGCTCCAAAGGTATAGATTGAATGCGGACGTCTAATACTATGACGACATAATATAACGTCACTGGTTTTAAATTATTTTTGAAACGCAACCATGGAGCGCCGAGTTGGGGGACATTTTCATCGGGATCAGACTCGTATTCCGGATCGGAAGTCGTAATCGTAAAATCGCCGCAGTCGGGATTTCAGACTTTTGATTGTTGATAATGAAAGTCAAATTTTTATACGGGAAGTCTGTAAAAACGTTATCTGACAAAACGGCGGCGATCAGCGAATAAAGCGTTAGACGAAGCCGTGTTGGGTTTTAAGATTAAACACCTTGGTTCAAGGCCCATGACCTCACCTCACACAGGCCGTAATAAATTGGGTAGGTAATGCCGAAACAGGTTTTTTTTTTAAAGTAATTCGATGGCTACTTGTACATGGACGTCTTCGAAGCGAGTAAAAGTCGCATAAAAAACAAGCAAGACCGTTGGAGCTCGTATTGCGAATTTCTGAAAAAGTTTCTTTAATTTAAGAATAACGACAAATTTTAAGCCTATCTTGCTTGAACGATATAACACAACATAATTAGTATATAGTTATATTTAGCTAGATGGTGGAATAGCAAGGTATAACTCACAAATCAGGTGATGCGTAGGACTTCCGTCGTGGCCAAATGCACTATAAATCTGGTTGCATACGTGCGTGCATCACACTTTTATGCTGTTTAAGCTCTGTGTTGTACTTCAATCTGCGACGTTGCTGGAAACATGTCTTTTAACCCTACTGATATTGTGGGAGCAGGCGGGATAGACGATTCGCGCTTCAAACCATGGTGGGAAAAAGTGATAGAATACAATATGAGAGGCATGTTGGTCACATCTTTGCTCATTCTATATATCGAATCCGTTGCAAAACCAATCCAGTGTGCACCGAAATATCCATCGGCTAATCTAACATTGACTAGCGAACAAGCTGCTTTGGCAAACGAGTTCTGCCACCGCCAAAGAGGTGTATTTCTGGACATCGCGGGTATAGTTTCGTTAGGCATGACCATAGCTCTGTATATCTGCTTTTCTACATGGTTGCTTTCATCAACGGTAACTACTGTATTAACTGATATGAAGCGCCTTGATGATAGCTTGAGGAACAAGAATATAAGGGCTATACATGTGGATAATGCTCTAGCCACCCCAGCTGTAAATTCTGAAAACCAGGTTCCGCAACAACAAGATGGTGTTGTTGGAAACCAGATCCCGCAACAACAAGATGGTGTTGTTGGAAATCGGGTCCAGCAACAACAAGATGGTGCTGTTGGAAATCGGGTCCAGCAACAACAAGATGGTGTTGTTGGAAATCGGGTCCAGCAACAACAAGATGGTGCTGTTGGAAATCGGGTCCAGCAACAACAAGATGGTGCTGTTGGAAATCGGGTCCAGCAACAACAAGATGGTGTTGTTGGAAATCGGGTCCAGCAACAACAAGATGGTGCTGTTGGAAATCGGGTCCAGCAACAACAAGATGGTGCTGTTGGAAATCGGGTCCAGCAACAACAAGATGGTGCTGTTGGAAATCGGGTCCAGCAACAACAAGATGGTGCTGTTGGAAATCGGGTCCAGCAACAACAAGATGGTGCTGTTGGAAATCGGGTCCAGCAACAACAAGATGGTGTTGTTGGAAATCGGGTCCAGCAACAACAAGATGGTGCTGTTGGAAATCGGGTCCAGCAACAACAAGGTGGTGTTGTTGAAAACCAGGTCCCGCAACAACAAGGTGGTGTTGTTGGAAATCGGGTCCAGCAACAACAAGATGGTGTTGTTGGAAATCGGGTCCAGCAACAACAAGATGGTGCTGTTGGAAATCGGGTCCAGCAACAACAAGGTGGTGTTGTTGGAAATCAGGTTCCGCAACAACAAGGTGGTGTTGTTGGAAATCGGGTCCAGCAACAACAAGATGGTGCTGTTGGAAATCGGGTCCAGCAACAACAAGGTGGTGTTGTTGGAAATCGGGTCCAGCAACAACAAGATGGTGCTGTTGGAAATCGGGTCCAGCAACAACAAGGTGGTGTTGTTGGAAATCAGGTTCCGCAACAACAAGGTGGTGTTGTTGAAAACCAGGTCCCGCAACAACAAGGTGGTAGTGTTGGAAACCGAAATCAGGTCGGTGCCAATGTTCTCTCAAAACAAATTGAGAAAAAAGCACAAGAGGCTATTACTGGAAAAGATTTCAAACTTGCCGAAAAATTAGACCTAATGGCTGAAGTATACGAATCTCTCGTCATGGATAAGTTACAACGACCGTATAACCCGATAGTTGGAACTATGTGTTGTGGACCTTGGGAGAAATTTTTAAAGCGCATTAACCCAGGATCAAAAATTGCAGCATGTTACTTCGTGAGATGTTGTCTGGCGTTGGTTGTTTCTTTAGGATTAGTAGATTGTGTCTCGTATTTTATATTGTGTTATCGTCCGTATCAGCCGAATTCGTCACACTGCCTGCTTTCAGATGATCAGGTCGTGACGATCGGGACAAGTTTATTTTTATGCTGGTCAGACTTGGAAGTCAAAATATTTCCATTTGTAGTGATATATGGAATATTATCATTCGTTGCAGTTTGCATGTCTGTTGCAGGGATTTGGTGCGTGGTCATTGTGCCCCGCGCAAGCACGGTCTTATTCATCATACAGTTCAATAAGTCGTCATACAAATTGTGCGATGCCATATTAAAGATTTTGCAAGCAGAAGAAGATAGGAGGTTAGCAGAAACCAACGAAGAATGGTGTTGCGGCTGTTGCTAATTAAAGACGCATTAGAATTGTCAAACATATATGACATATTCGCAATTACACACTCCGACAAAATTGAAAAAAACAGCATAGCAAACTTCAGAAATGGGGAAGATAAGATATTTAATTAGAAAAAATGATCACATTTAAATCGCCAATATCTATGGTTTTACTTTGAAGTAGCTTAAACATACACGAGTTGAAAATTATCATCTTAAATATGGCGATTTCTTCTCGAGCGGTGATTTCAAAAAATAAATTTTCAAAACTGAAATTTCTGAATCCCCAACTTCAATTTTAAATCATTTCCCTTTATCGTGAACCTTTTTTTTTATTTTTTTTTTTACGAATGTGTGAAATGTGTTGTATGTATCTGCATGTCAAATAATTTCAGTTGACAATGATGCTAACCTCATCCCATGTATACCCATGTGCAACTGCCACAACAGCAGCTAATTTCATCGATATTGCCCATGTATTGTAATCGATTATACTATATTTTCATTTTATTTTTTATTCTAATTGATTTTGCTTACATTAGCATAATCCCAAATCTGACCTAGGTAATTTCACACAAACATACAATGCAATACCATGCTTCGTTATATGTATTTAGATTAAACGAGCATTTTAAAACAAAAGGGCAGATGTCGGAATTTCGAAAAGAAAATTTAAAATATTGCATTACAAAAAATGAATGGTCTTTAATTTGGTATCTAATATTAAAATGAACCAATAATCAATAAATTATTTCAATAAAAAATTACAGGAATACGGTAAAAATCCAAAATATACGTTTCTCCATTTTATTTGAACAGCATTTTCAAGCTTCGCCATTTTGGACTTAGGACCTCGTTATGTATTCGAGTGTCATTTGTAATCATTGTGTCGAATCAATATACCTGATGATAAACATTGCTATGTTTTTTTTTTTACTTTCAGTAATGAACTGTCAACTTCTAAATCTTTTAAAATGAAATATTAGTCAAGATAATAAACATTTACTGACGTTGATTCTGCTTCAATTATTTCTCGTAGAGATTTTTGCTCAAAGCAAGGTCACCAGAACTCAATGATTGAAGAGAATGATTCAGAGCAAAGATATGGAAAATCACTAAAACGAGAATATCGGTCAGAGACCGAAGACTTATCGATCGAAAGTTAGGGGATCCCCCAAAACAGCGCTCCTACTCCATAGTGACACCTTGTGCCCCATCACTAATTAATCAATAACTCGCTAATTATACGACATAATTTGCCCAAAATCAATAGGCTTCTGGTCCGAGATATGATGAATGCACATGTAAAATCTGCAGCAGATCCAATCTCACTTTCGTGAGATATCGCGTGCATCAGACAAATACCAAGACCTACTGATCTATAAAGAATTAAAGAGCGGGATTGCGCTTTAGTAAACATTCGCTTCAAAACAATCAGATAAACAGCAGCTATGGTATACTTAACGATAGGGTAGTGAATTCCCCATAACGGATTGGGAAAAAACTTTGGGCGTAGAAATTTTTAGAGTTCATGGCTAACTGAGTTTAACAAGTGAAAACTTCTCACAGTTAGTCGAAACTAAGTTTTTATAAGAATATTGAAACTTATATCAGATTAGTTTTATTTACCATTGTAATTGTAAGATAATAAAATGGCGCGTTAAGAGTGATGGAATAAATCGTTTCTATTTGAGTTAGTTATAATAAAATAGCAAAAACATTAGGTGAAATATCCGTTAATAGAGAAAATTTGAAATAAATAACAATAGCCTTATGGCGGCTTCAACAATCTTCAAGTAGGGAAAATTTGAAATCAACCAGCTCACTAATTGCGATTTTTGCACCACAATAATTAGACAAAACGATTCATATGTGAACCTCGTATCCAATGAAAATAAGAAAAAGCTTGTAGTCTGTGTATCCATTTGAACCTTTTATCGAAACGATTAGCGCTGATCTGCAGTGATGGTTGTAACCTTAGACTTGTGAGGCGTCGGGGCAGCTGCTACTTTTCCATTTCTACGACCAGTCAATCCGAAAACATCAATCAATAGCTTTGCTGTCGCTTCTCTTATATTGCTAAAAAATCAAACAAATATTTGGTGTTATTCATGTATTGCTTTGTTTGTTTAATGTGTTTTAAAGCAGAATATACAAATCACGCAGATTGGTAGCTCCTGGCTGGGTCAGGTTTTCAGACCGATCGGAACTGTAGAGAAATAATGATGTAATCGAGCAGTGCAATAACATATACGCGTAACCCTCAAACCGATAAGCTTAATTATATTAATACAGAGAAAAATATTTGAATAGCTTGACCCCTTTTTAGCTCACTTATCCCGCTCACCCCATACTTGTCTCACATTTTCCGCAAACTTGTTGATTTAAAGTATGTATACGAAGTGAAATTACGATCGTGAGACAATTGGGCTGAAAGGCGACAAGTGGGACAGGTACTATAGTTGTTAGAATCTTCAGTATTGATATTATAGCGACACCTAGGCCCGGATTGCGTCGACAGTTGATTGGTCGAGTGACGCGCTTCGATTTTGGGGGCGTTTTCTAGATTGAGACTGTGGGGAACTATCGCGACAAGCATCTTAACTGCAACAACAAGCTTCTGCCTCAAACTTAGTTGAGTCTTTTACTGTCTTATTTACTTTTACTGAAACTTTTTTATCGTGTTTACCGTTGTCGTTTTTAACTGAATAATCTAAAACACAACCCGATTGTACTTGTTTAACTAGAGACTTAGAAGCGAACAGTTAAGGAAGCACAGTCTCCGCACGCGCGGAGTCATAGGGAAATACTATCACGCACCCCACAATATCAAACTCAAAAAAACGTCTAAGTACCTCCCAACTAAAATTATTCCAATATACATTGTTTACCTTGATGCAATGTTGTAAAAAACAGGATTCAGACATTCAGAGAATCGAAGAAGTGTGTGACAAAAAAGAGAAAGAAACCAGTCTAAATGCGCCGTCAATTTTCCACCTTTTGATCGAATAATAATCGATTGAAGTCCATATGCTGAATAGAATCAAATATATATTTATATACATATATCGTGTTTCTACGTAAAGGACGGTGTCTTATTTCAATTTTCTTTCAAAAAATAACACTAGGACTTATTTTGAGGAGATGTCTTTTTTTTTTATTTATCAAAAACAAAATTGCAAAGTAGAGAATTGCGAGGGTTTCGAATATACGAAATATGAGGACCGATATCCATTTACTTATACATAACACATTTTATTTAAAGTACCTGCTAAGCATGGACTATTAGTTATCTAAAACGTGTAGGATAGATTTCTTAGCTATCGATTTTTCAAAACAAAGTTCGCGCTTTCGGCTAGGTCTTGTATGGGGAGGGCTCATATTGAAATCATTTTTATAAAGTTCGGGCTAGGTGTTATTTTCAGGGAAACACGGTATATATTAATGCGTTTGGTAATACCTGGAATCGCCACAATTCTTTGATGGCCATTCGAACCAATAGGTTTATTTCTTAATAAGTAACATGATAACTTTATAAGAGATAAAAGCAGATTATATAGCCTTGGGCAGTGAACATAAGAATTTTCCATCTTCATTCCGGGAGAATCGGAAAGCTGTTAAGACGATCCAATCATATTTCGAATCAACGGTTGTCACCCGGTTACCAGTCAACTTCTGGTTGTTTCATGCAACGCTTCCTCGCGCAGTTCGCTCCGAACAAGGCCTTATACAAGCGGCCACTGATATCTCAAGTTACGTAAGAAGCTACTGTTATTTGGAAATACCGGAATCTTTCCGGTTCGGCTTTGCCTACTCAATTTATGGCGCTATATTATTTATGAAGTGTGTGTACCAATATGGAGGTAACTAATTTTGTTCGCCTGCTTTACATTAAGTTGTGTAAAGGGAGTGAAACCTATAGGCAGGGTGCAGTGGTGGGATTCAGCCGGTTCGAACCGGTTCTATAAAACCTTCTCACGGAATTTCATGAGATCAGCGAACCGGTTAGCATTACTGGTTACTGTCGATGACTTTTTGTAACACAACCGGGCGAAAAATATGACTTTTGTCATGGAACCGGCAGAAAAAAAAATTGAATCCCACCACTGGCAGGGTGTATATTCACTTGGATAATACAGACAATCCCGAACCCTGGGTAAGGTTCGGGCTTGAAGCTTGAATCTAATACACGATTCTTACCTGAATAAGGAATATATCCAAGAAGAAAGGAGAACGCAATCAGACCTAGCTGTATCAAAGCGGATCTTTCTTTCTGCATTGCTGCTGACCGATTTTTTTGAGTCAATATCTTGCTTCCTACAAACAGATATATTCAGAATACGAAAAATTCATTGCGTTTTGTATTTTACACAAACCAGACTTTACATCGTCTGGTTACTCGGGGATATCAATGTTGACTCATTTGTATTTATGGGACACACTTATGCAATATTAATACATGAGATTAATATCAAAAAACATCACTAACATATCTTGTCAAATTTAATACACCCAAAGAAGACTAAGTGAGACGGTATGAACCATTATTGGATGGAAGTCGATAATGGTGCCATGTTTTACTACTTGGGACAAACGTTTCGATTTCGAAACACCAGTGCTTAGCCCTAGTCGAGACATTGCAAGAACGAGTTTGCACGAACATGTACAAACCCCCTCGATTTCCACCACTGGGTATATATGGATGATTTACTCACTACGTCGCTGTAGAATGAAGAATATCAGAAGTAGACACAATACGACGACCATCAGTAAAGGAATATAAATAAGTATCGGGAATCCTATGAACGCATACATCCCCGCGCTGCGTAGCCTGAAAATCAAAAATATTAAAATCGTATTACAGCAAGAAGAATGTTTCACTAAATAATATGAATAAACTACTGGTAGTGGTTTACAAAATCATCTCGTCCCCCACGCTTGTCCCCATTGTATGAATTTGTCTATATGCCTTCGGCCGTATTACATTCATCATACCTTTGCACATACCATGGATTTAACTAACAAACGATTTTTGTAGATAATAAAAATGCTTTACAGAAAGCACATATTCATCGGCTTCAGCATTTCCAGAAAGACATTGGGCCCATTATATATATATATATACATTAACTCAGAACATTGGGACAAATGGAAGGAGTGTACGACAAGTGGGACAACTGCGTCAATAAGGGAAAAAACAGCGCTGAAATGAAAAAGAGTGTGGCAAAATGGGACAAGTGTGTGACACGAAACACCGCTTTTTACATGAGGCATACAAACAAGTACTCTAGTTGTGCATACAGTTGTTACTGTGTGAATTTAAGGTGTTAGTAGTCCCTGTTCGATCGCTTATAACAAAGATACTTTACAGACGAATAATATCTCAGACTGTACTCGCCATTTTTGCTGCATCGCACAAGAATACCAGTAGGGTTTAGTAAGATCCGATGGTGGCATTTTGACAGCAGGAAAAATGAAGAACGGGAGAAAACCGAAGAAGAATGTCTCCACCCAGATAACGGCAACCAAGGTCTTAACATAAATTTAAGTCATAAAAATAAATACTTGATAAACTGAAAAGCGTATTTATTTAACATTATATGAGACGATATTTATTTGAACTAACTTTGAACCTGGGTCATAAGCAACTTGAATTCCAGTCTATTACAGCTGGATATAGTTATGTCTGATACAAGTTAAAATGAGATATAATGTAATATGACTCCCACAAAGGAGCAGACTCAGATTCCTGCTCAGTCTGAACCAATTCACATCGATTGCGACAATTCGAAAGTTGCGGGAAGAGTTTCGTTCTAACCCTAACATACACCCCACGCTATTGCGGCAGCCCCACCACTAAAATAGTACCCATTACCTAGTTTATTGGAGAAAATTTACTAAATTGTTGTTGTTATTGTTTTTTAATTTTCTTTACGTCCAATGGGTCCTTATATTTTACCGCAAAGCTTCTCAGTTTGGCATATATTTACGCCATCACGTGTCACTCCATGAGTTTATTCCACAGATACAGCTAGAGCCTTACCGATACCGATGTGAATTTTTTTGAAGTTGTTATTAGAAATCGCTGATTTAAGCCTCGTATCAGTCATTCGATCTCAATGTCCATATATATATTTGAGCAATGCTTACTTGAATTTTATATTACTTAACTATTTTACCTTTGCGTGGGAAGGTTTTATTAAACCAAACTTTGTTGGAAATTTGAACGAGATAATGCGAAGAACACAAAAGATAAGAACATGCTGAATTGTTGCTATCGTAGTCCACAGGTCAACAGCCAACGTCAGCTGAAAAAATTTAAGTATTGTCGATTAGTAGAATGATAATCACTGTAGCATATCGTGCAATGTAGCAGTGTCAGGGTTGTCCATGAGGAACGTCCCATCCCATGTGATGAGATGGGACAGCACACATTTGGATTTCTCATGAGACACGGGAACAGTATGATTTTCGGGAAAATGATGGTAAAACATTTCGTTATGGACTTTGTGTCCATATATTTGATCATAGCTCTCTTGTTAGTTATAAAGAGCAAATTATATTCAGCATTAACAATATACTTTGTGAGGGGGCTGATGGACACATGTATAACAGTTATGAATATAAAGTTAATAAAGCCCGTATATTTTGTTGTTTTGCATGTCTCTTCGTGCATATAGTCCTATTTAGTGGACACTAAACCTAAATTTAACAATTTTTATTGAATTTTATTCCAATGAGAATCCCATGGGATTGAATGAGACAGGTATAATTGCTATGGGAATGGGATCAAAAATATATCACATGGGCAAGCCTGAGAACTGTAGCAAAGGTGACAAAACTACCCAGTCAATTGAATAATAAGATGTCATTTACTTGTTAATACCAGCTGGAAATTTTCAAATAGTTAGATTTTTCGCCTATTTGTGTATATATACAGTTGTTAGTTAGGTTTTAGTTTCATAATGCTTTATGATTAGATGGTTTATTTTTTCAAATTTATAGGATTTCCATATTAATCTTTGGGGAGAGGAAAATCCTAATAAAACGACCTAATCATATATCAGGGATGGCGAACCACTGACCCGCGGGTCACCGAGTCAGCCACCGCGTTTTATTCGTGACCCGCCAAGGCACGAATAAAATAAAATGCTAACATTTTAGTGATATAAAATGAAGAAAAACCGACTTTAAATTAATCTACCAATAACTAAACTATTATATTGTACCGTCATTCATGTTCAAATAGTTAATTTATCCTTCTCGGCCGGTATGGTGATTTTCAAAACTCCTAATCTTGGACGTATGTATGCACCACTGTGTACCTTTATTCAGCTATTGGCTCTCACATAGTTTCTGTCATAACAATGCATTTGATCTGTTCATTTCTCGCAACGTCTTGTCTCTTTCGGAAGTGCATCTGCAGACTGTTTAGGGGTTTATACGAGAACTAGATGTTTCCATACTTTGCATTTTATTAGTTTCTCACATACAATGCCGCTGGGAAAACAAAATCTTTGAGACTTGAAATAAAAACCTAGAAATTAGAATGGAGCAGTGTGGAAGTGCCTTAACGGAGTCCTGAGGCTCCGTACAGAGCACTTTGAGAACCTAAAGTCTACGTAGTAGGATAGAACAATGCGAACAACTAAGTAACGAATGTTTCCCCGACTTTTGATCTCTTGAATTCTTCCTCTTTACACTCTACCATTGAAAAATTATGAGTACTCATTTCAAGAATGGTTTTGTGTGTTTAGGACTTATATTTAAAAAAAAACACAACTAAAATCTAACAAATAACACGCCAAAACCGACAAAACGAGGTAATATTCACAACCATGAAAATCTGTCTGAATGACTAAATCAGTGGTCGGCAACCACCGGCCGCGGCCCATCGCCGGTCCGCGGAAAGGTTACTACCGGTCCGCAGAAACGTGACGAAAAAGACGGACAATTTTCCTAATAACATCTTTAGTTGATTAAAATTTCAAACAATAATGAGTTGAAAAGAGTCTTTGCGATTTAAAGGGTAGCTACTTTGGCAATTTTTTGGGCAATACTGCTATCTGAATACCCCGGCATTGCAAAAAAAAGCTATTACAGGCATTTTTACATTTATGTGAGATCGGGTTTTCAAAATTGACAACTACAAAATCGCAGTAGGCTAAAAGTAAGAAATACGTTACTTGAATAACATCACTTTTGTTTTTAAATTTAATATCAACCTAAATTTAAAACGTTTATTGTTACGTCAAATTCTGCACTTATGCTGATTGGCCAATGTTAAGGCAGTAAATAAGGAAGTCTAAACTCGGGGGAGATTCCATAAATATAATTAGGGTTTTATATAGCTGTTATAGCTAAATTCGCTACACTACACAGACGCGATGCTCATATTTATGGAAAATTTAAATTGTTTCGCGACCCAGAGCGGAGGGCTTCGCGACCAAAATTTGGGTCGCGACCCCGTAGTTGCGGACCCCTGCCGTACGGTACCTTGCCAGTACTGCAGTACCTGTTGCTGTATGTAGGCCTGCTATTCGATCGTGGAACGGTTCTTCTCTGGCATATAAAAACTCAATTCAATTTGCTCTTGTCGAAATTAACAAATACAGTTGTAACCACTGAAAATTTCCGGGCAATTGGTCCAGTAATCAAAGAGAAAAGCGACTTTTCAGGTTTTTCACTAGGTGTCCAAAAGTGTCCAAGAACAACAACATAATATTGAATCAATCGCTATGTCCACTAGGTGTCCGACAACAAAACGATCACTATGTCCACTACGTGTCCAATAATATTAACCTACTGTCTAGCATTAAAACATCCAACAAATCCCCATCCCGTAGTCGCAAAACCACAAACAAACATCCCTGGTAACCCACCGGAGACCGGAGGCACTCCCACAGACACTCATGACCAGAATTCAACCAAAAACCAACCACACTGTACCGGTACCAACCACAGCACACGCCAACAGGATACCAAAGGACAGATTGACAGTGTCACAGCGACCCAGTGTTGAAAATACAGAATACCAAATATGAAAAAAATATCACATGACATCATTTAACAGATAAAACAATCTTCACAAAAATATTATTCAACTTTCAATTTTTTTTTTAAATTTTACCGATTTATGCTTTACTGAGCCCATAAGCAAGTCTAATAGGATTTCAATAATCCCAACTCAAATCCTTGACCCTCCACTTTCCTATTCTCGATCCGCTGCCCTGTCTCCCTCGCCTCGGCCAAGTGCTCCACCTACCTATCCTCGACCCACCGCCCTATCTCCCTCAACCTTCCTATCCTCGACCCACTGTACTACCTTCCTTTCCCCCTCAACCTTTTTATCCTCGACTCCTTGCCCTATCTCCCTCAACTTTTCTAACCTCGATCCACTGCACTATCTGCCTCAAACTTACCACCCTCGACCCACTGTCCGACCTTCCTCAACTTGCTTATCTTCGACCCACGACGCTATACCACTCAGTACCTAACCCTACGGCGCTACAATAACGACTCGATCGTCAAAATGAACTCTACCATCTTGCGACCAACTTCCATGTGTTATACTGGTCAAGTATGCCAATGAGATGATTCAATCGTACGTCGACAAAACATGATTGACGGCATTCGTAAATGTAGACTGGAATCTCAATTGGTAATCGATAACCATAATTAGTGGCTTAAAAATGTGCTTCTAATTAGGCTACTGATGGCATGGTTTGGAGTCACTGTTTTTAAAATTTTAACAGTTCATTTGATATCGACATATCTGAATTCCTTTTCAGAAACTCATTAAATGTCACCTGTATTTCCATGCAAGGCAAAACGATGAGAAAGTAATCAAATACTTGCACGCTTGGTATTTTTCAACGAAAGTTCTACCATATCCTGTTCTATATACAACTTTTTTTACGTGACTGAGAAGGCTGAAAAGTCAAAAATATAAGTCGCTCAGTGAGTGTAATCCCTTCCAAACTATTTTTAAGCCATGAAATGTTTTGTCGTAGCTAGCGTTTCCAACTGCACTTTAATTCAGCGTATAGTCCCAAAAATGAGCTTATCTTATCTGCAACTTAATGAAGTTGCAAAGGACGCAGTTCGTACGTAATCTTTGGCAACGCTTTTACTATAAAATGTTGAAGAAAAAAACTTTATACGGACCAGAGCACTCTTGCTTATTTCGGATCAGCGTCATACTGTCACAAGACTCACGACATGGCCAATTATTAAGGGCATAAAACGGCTTGGGTAAATTTAGAAAACTGTCATTCCCAACAAGCCCAACTAGTAACACATTTTTAAACTGTCAATCATGGTTATTGTTTACCATTTGAGATTCCAGCCTACATATACGAATGGCGTCAATCACGTTTTGTCGACGTACGATTGAATCATCTTATTGGCATACACGACCAGTATAACCCATGGAAGTTGGTCGCAAAATAGTTAAGTTCAGTGTGGCGATTGTGAATAAAGCGCCGTTAGGTCAGGTATTGGATAGTATAGCAGCGTTGGTCAAAAATAGGTAAGTTGTGGCAGATAGGGCGGTGGGTTGAGGGTAGGTAAGTTGAGGGAGATAGGGCAGTAGGTCGAGAAGAGAAAGGTTTAGGAAGATAGAGCGGTGGTTCGAGGATGCGGAAGTTGGGGAGATAGGTCAGTGGGTCGAGGATAGGGAGGTAGCGTAGTGGGTCGAAAATAGGGAGGTTGGGGGAGATAGGGCAGTGGGTCGAGGACATTTTTCAAGTAAACGAATAGCTCGCGGAGGCCCTAAGCGCCTTTAATGTGGTTGAAAGCTGATCGAAAAATATCACTATTAGAGTGGAATTTTCTTCCAAACTTTTTGTAACTATAAAATAATTTGCCGCATCATCATAAACGTAATTCATATGCGTGTTTTCGTACTCTAATTTCATAAAATCGAGTGCCATAAAAAGTCCCTGATAGAAGTGCTGCATAAGTGAAGCCCAAAACTACACCAACACCAACAGAAGCTTATCAGACTTGTTTCAGTTCCTTATAGATACAAACATTGATTAAATATCTGTGACCCACTCTCCTCTCTTCCTCGAAAAAAATATAATTTTTGACCCATTCATTGAAAATGGTTCGCCATCCCTGATATATATATAGCGTACTACAACAGCCTCTTGTCCAGTTACCAGTCCATGTCGGGTATTGAAATAGTTAACCATGTATATGTTTTAGATTAGATGCATGTACTTGATGGTGGAGGAAAGAACAACTGTTTTTAAAATTTTAACAGTTCATTCGATATCGACATATCTGAGTTCCTTTTCAGAAACTCATTCAATGTCGCCTGTATTTCCATGCAAGGCAAAACGATGAGAAAGTAATCAAATATTTGCACGCTTGGTCTTTTCCAACGAATATTCTGCCATATCCTGTTCTATATACAACTTTTTTTACGTGACTGAGACGGCTGAAAAGGTAAAAATATAAGTCGCTCAGTGAGTGTAATCCCTTCCAAACTATTTTTAAGTCATGAAATGTTTTGTCGTAGCTAGCGTTTTTAACTGCTCTTTAATCCAGCGTATAGTCCCAAAAATGAGCTTATCTGCAACTTAATGAAGTTGCAAAGGACGCAGTTCGTACGCAATCTTTGGCAACGCTTTTACTATAAAATGTTGAAGAAAAAAACTTTATACGGACCAGAGCACTATTGCTTATTTCGGATCAGCATCATATTGTCACAAGACTCACGACATGGCCAATTATAGGGCATAAAACGGCTTGGCTAAATTTAGAAAACTGTCTTTCCCAGCAAGAAACCATCAGTAGCCCAATTAGTAACAAATTTTTAAACTGCCAATTATGGTTATTGTTTACCATTTGAGATTCCAGCCTACATATACAAATGCCGTCAATCATGTTTTGTCGACGTACGATTGAATCATCTCATTGACATACACGACCAGTATAACCCATGGAAGTTGGTCGCAAGATAGTAAAGTTCAGTGTGGCGATCGGGTCGTGAATAAAGCGCCGTTAGGTCAGGTATTGAATAGTATAGCAGCGTAGGTCAAAAATTAGGTAAGTAGTGGCAGATAGAGCCGTGGGTCGAGGATAGGTAAGTTGAGGGAGATAGGGCAGTAAGTCGAGAAGAGAAAGGTTTACGATAAAATCGCAGTAGGCTAAAAGTAAGAAATACGTTACTTGCATAACATAACTTTTATTTTTAGATTTAATATCAATCTAAATTTAAAACGTTTATTGTTACGTCAAAATCTGCACTTATGCTGATTGGCCAATGTTACGGCAGTAAATAAGGAAGTCTAAACTCGGGGGAGATTCCATAAATATAATTAGGGTTTTATATAGCTGTTATAGGTAAATTCGCTACACAGACGCGATGCTCATATTGATGGAAAATTCAAATTGTTTCGCGACCCAGAGCGGAGGGACCCCGTAGTTGCGGACCCCTGCCGTACGGTACCTTACCAGTACTGCAGTACCTGTTGCTGTATGTAGGCCTGCTATTCGATCGTGGAACGGTTCTTCTCTGGCATATAAAAACTCAATTCAATTTGCTCTTATCGAAATTAACAAATACAGTTGTAACCACTGAAAATTTCCGGGCAATTGGTCCAGTAATCAAAGAGAAAAGCGACTTTTCAGGTTTTTCACTAGGTGTCCAAAAGTGTCAAAGAACAACAACATAATATTGAATCAATCGCTATGTCCACTAGGTGTCCGACAACAAAACGATCGCTATGTCCACTACGTGTCCAATAATATTAACCTACTGTCTAGCATTAAAACATCCAACAAATCCCCATCCCGCAGTCGCAAAACCACGAACAAACATCCCTGGTAACCCACCGGAGACCGGAGGCACTCCCACAGACACTCATGACCAGAATTCAACCAAAAACCAACCACACTGTACCGGTACCAACCACAGCACACGCCAACAGGATACCAAAGGACAGATTGACAGTGTCACAACGACCCAGTGTTGAAAATACAGAATACCAAATGTGGAAAAAATATCACATGACACCATTCAACAGATAAAACAAGAGTCTTCACAAAAATATTATTCAACTTTCAATTTTTTTTTTCTAAATTTTACCGATTTACGCTTTACTTTACACAACTGAGCCCATAAGCAAGTCTAATAGGAATTTAATCCCAACACAAATCCTTGGACCCACTGCCCTATCTCCCTCAACTTCCCTATTCTCGATCCGCTGCCCTGTCTCCCTCGCCTCGGCCAACTGCTCCACCTCCCTATTCTCGACCCACCGCCCTATCTCCCTCAACCTTCCTATCCTCGACCCACTGTACTACCTACCTGTCCCCCTCAACCTTTTTACCCTCGACTCCTTGCCCTATCTCCCTCAACTCTTCTAACCTCGATCCACTGCACTATCTGCCCCAAACTTCCCACCCTCGACCCACTGTCCGACCTTCCTCAACTTGCATATCTTCGACCCACGACGCTATACCACTCAGTACCTAACCCAACGGCGCTACAATCACGACTCGATCGTCAAAATGAACTCTACCATCTTGCGACCAACTTCCATGTGTTATACTGGTCAAGTATGCCAATGAGATGATTCAATCGTACGTCGACAAAACATGATTGACGGCATTCGTAAATGTAGACTGGAATCTCAATTGGTAATCGATAACCATAATTAGTGGCTTAAAAATGTGCTACTAATTAGGCTACTGATGGCATGTTTTGGAGTCACTGTTTTTAAAATTTTAGCAGTTCATTCGATCTCGACTTATCTGAGTTCCTTTTCAGAAAGTCGTTCAATGTCGCCTGTATTTCCATGCAAGGCAAAACGATGAGAAAGTAATCAAATACTTGCACGCTTGGTCTTTTTCAACGAATGTTCTGCCATATCCTGTTCTATATACAACTTTTTTTACGTGACTGAGAAGGCTGAAAAGTCAAAAATATAAGTCGCTCGGTGAGTGTAATCCCTTCCAAACTATTTTTAAGCCATGAAATGTTTTGTCGTAGCTAGCGTTTCCAACTGCACTTTAATTCAGCGTATAGTCCCAAAAAAGAGCTTATCTTATCTGCAACTTAAGGAAGTTGCGAAGGACGCAGTTCGTACGTAATCTTTTACTATAAAATGTTGAAACTTTATACGGACCAGAGCACTACTGCTTATTTCGGATCAGCATCATATTGTCACAAGACTCACGACATGGACAATTATTAAGGGCATAAACGGCTTTGCTAAATTTAGAAAACTGTCATTCGCGACAACAGACCATCAGTAGCCCAATTAGTAACACATTTTTTAACTGCCAATTATGGTTATTGTTTACCATTTGAGATTCCAGCCTACATATACGAATGCCGTCAATCATGTTTTGTTGAAGTACGATTGAATCATCTCATTGGCATACACGACCAGTATAACCCATGGAAGTTGGTCGCAAGATAGTTAAGTTCAGTGTGGCGTTCGGGTCGTGAATAAAGCGCCGTTAGGTCAGGTAGGCTACTGAATAGTATAGCAGCGTAGGTCAAAAATAGGTAAGCTGTGGCAGATAGGGCGGTGGGTCGAGGATAGGTAAGTTGAGGGAGATAGGTAGGGCAGTGGTCGAGGATAGGGAAATAGCGTAGTGGGTCGAAAATAGGGAGGTTGGGGGAGATAGGGCAGTGGGTCGAGGATAGGAAAGTTGGGTAGATAAGACAGTGGTCGAGGATAGGGAAATAGCGTAGTGGGTCGAAAATAGGGAGGTTGAGGGAGATAGGGCAATGGGTCGAGGATAGGAAAGTTGGGTAGATAGGGCAGTGGTCGAGGATAGGGAAATAGCGTAGTCGGTCGAAAATAGGGAGGTTGGGGGAGATAGGGCAGTGTGTCGAGGACAGTTTTCAAGTCAACGAATAGCTCGCGGAGGCCCTAAGCGCCTTTAATGTGGTTGAAAGCTGATCGAAAAATATCACTATTAGAGTGGAATTTTCTCCAAACTTTTTGTAACCATAAAATAATTTGCCGCATCATCATAAACTTAATTCATATGCGTGTTTTTCATACCCTAATTTTATAAAATCGAGTGCCATAAAAAGTCCCCGATAGAAGTGCTGCATAAGTGAGGCCCAAAACTACACCAACACCAACAGAAGCTTATCAGACTTGTTTCAGTTCCTTATAGATACGAACATTGATTAAATATCTGTGACCCACTCTCCTCTCTTCCTCGAAGAAAATATAATTTTTGACCCATTCATTGAAAATGGTTCGCCATCCCTGATATATATATAGCGTACTACAACAGCCTCTTGTCCAGTTACCAGTCCATGTCGGGTATTGAAATAGTTAACCATGTATATGTATATGTTTTAGATTAGATGCATGTACTTGATGGTGGAGGAAAGATTTAACCCGATCAGAAGTTACATAACATAACAGTTACCAGTCCATGTCGGGTATTGAAATAGTTAACCATGTATGGGTATTAGATCAGATGCATGTACTTGATGGTGGAGGAAAGATTTAACCCGATCAGAAGTTACATAACATAACAGTTACCAGTCCATGTCGGGTATTGAAATAGTTAACCATGTATGGGTATTAGATCAGATGCATGTACTTGATGGTGGAGGAAAGATTTAACCGATCAGAAGTTACATAAACCGCCCTAAGACAGGTTCATAATGTGCCAAACGCTGAAAATTTCCATTCGTAGGCTACACGGCAGTAAATCAGAAAGAGTGAGGGAGTTTGGTTCACTCACGTATGGAAGAATCTTGCATTTCAAATTGATACAAAAATAGATATACCGGTGGATGACTTACCTTACAGAAGACAGTGGGCAAATTCCAGTATCGAAATCCCCAAGTTCTTCGATATAAAACTCCCAAACTATCAACAGCGGAGACAAAGTCGGAAACGCACAAACTCATCAAGAATATGTTGAATACGGAGCTAAAAAGAATTAAAATAGTGGTATTTAATTTGAGTAATTTTCAAATTATTGCTTTGTCTAGATTCGTGAATTGACCTTCTATAGCTACCGTGGGCCAAATCCGGCCAGTTAGGTAATTCAATCTAGCCCGCCTGATGCTGCCATAACCAAACTAAAAACAAATTTTGATATTACAGATAGGAAATAGCTCAAGGAATTTGTTGAGATTGCGATTAAATTTAGTTTTGGCACGAGGCTTATTGTTTTCCACTTTTGAATTTGTACCACTGTAAATATTGTATAAAATGCAACTTTTTACGTCACACTTACATGATGCGCCAGTCTAGGTGGACGAAATTTTTTGCCCCAGGTATAAAAACCTTGCCCATCCCCGTTCTATAGCGAAGAAACCCATAGCATGAGCATTCATAGCATGGAAACTACACCAGTGATTGGCGAATGTGTGTCGCAAAATATTCATCCATTTCCAAAAAATATTTTTTATGTGCCTAAAAATTTAGCCCCGACTTCAATGCCAACTGATCAACAGAGGAAATGAGGTACTCTCGTTATATATGTACATTCCGATTATAGTTCTTCGGGGATTGTCTGTCCTAGCTAAGTGAACATACTCCCTGCACATAGGACAACAAATTTATTTATCTCCATATTGATACGCACACTTCTTGAGCGCCGAAATTATTTCTTTACCGCTTTGGCTGCGACCCCAAATCCATATGATCAACTGAGAAAATGAACTACAGTACATGTATAAACTTATAATCTTACCTTTTCAGTTTCGGTGATTTCCAGATCGCAGTAAATGTCACAGAATTCGCAAACAGTCCAAATGCGCAAAACGAAAGCAGGACAACAATAAAAGCGACTGCTTCATATTCTTCATAAATCTTGAAGGCGACTCTATCATTGTAACGATTGTCAGTATTAGATTTATATTTAATCATTCAAATATGCATATGTATGTGCTGCATGTATACAATGTTTGGTAGAAGTACATAAACACCGAGTTGCTAGTCAAACTCTGAGGTAAGTCTAGTGGTTACTTGATGACGAACCCGATTTATTCCATGTGGCTGACCCCAAACCCTACACTACAAGGGTTCCCAATGGCACATGTGCGTCCAATGGTACATTTCGACTTATCAAGGGTATAAAAATATTCCTTCCATAATTTCTAATTTGCCTTGAAATACTGTTTATCGCCTGATATTAATATTTGAAGACTTGAGTTGAATAACGTTTTAGAAAGTTACTTTTTTTCCCCAGTAGAAGCTTAAATTTCAACTACAGTAACTCTAAAAAGTATACTTTTGTAGTTTACACGACTTATTTTTTTCAATCACCGAACGCAAGGCAAATCAGCTGGTTTGGGGGTACATAATCTATACGAACGAATCTATAAATTGTCCAACGGGTGTTGATGAACAAAAAAATTGGGAAATCCTGTTTTATCACAAGTAAAGTTATTTTGATAGAACAGATCGTTTTTGGCTATAATTTCATTATTGCTGAGTATTTTGTATGTTTGTTAAACATTCGAATAAATTTTGTGTGTAGAGAATACATTTTCGATTCCGAACTTTCCAGTCTCATATTAAGGCATTTATCATATATGTATATACAAAATATTGGTTCCGAAAGATGTGTAATACAAGAGAGCGATGCTCAAATATACAGATAGCAGATACGATGGCCAAATCGAAATACATGAAATATTGTAAAGTATGTAGTCTGACTAGGTGAGATGCGATCGCTGAACCGCCACACAACTTTTGATGATGTAATCATACCAAATGTAATAGTCAAAAAGGAATGGAGCCCACAAAAACGGTTGAAATAAACAAAAGTAATAGTAACAAGAACAATCTTTATCCAATAAAATTTTCAACCAATTGGCCCAGTAATCAATAAGAAAGACGATTTGTCACAACAACAATAGCAACAGGAAGAAAAGTAGGCGCTCCGGAAGTATTCGTACCAAGATGACGCACAACCTGAACAACCCTGACCTGGTACACATGCTACATTCAGGTTGTGCGCCATCTTCGTGCGAATACCGAAAAGAATGCCAAGAATAATATCATCAACAACGATAAAAAATTCACAAAACGATCCATAGGTACAATTCGTGCCCAATAAATATGCATTGTACGACACGTTAAAAACTTAACTTACTTATTTGGAGCAGATGTTGTCAAGTTCCATTTCAGAATCGTGCTCTTCATAGTTGAGATTGCTGTAACATTGTCCATAGTCTATTGCACGTTGATTGACAGGAGCTAATGGTTACTGAACACTAACACCGTATTGGTTTATTAAAACCCATCTGCTAACTGATCGAACGTGTAACGTACACCCATAATCAAATGTTTATGGCAGATTAAAAATACCGTGTTTGGTCATGTTATCTGATGAGGCCTGTGTTACTGAGCTACTGAAATTTTGTCGATCACTGCAATGTACTCTAGATAAAATTCCGACATTTTTTTCAAATATTCGTGTAATTGTGTGGGTCGCTCGTGAACCAGGGCTAGGCAAAGGCTTTTGCTAGGTAGGTCTACCGTGCGCGATGACTAAATTAATCTAAATTGACTATAATTGTCTAACCGTAATACATTTATTCCCTTTGGTTTTTAATTATTGAACGTGCCGCATAAAAATACATGCGGAGCATGAATGGGACCACAGTAAAAGCAAAACTAGGTATTTTTATAAAATCATGAGCCACAAGCGTTGAGAGTCTTTGGAAGGAGGCCAGGTACCATAAAGGTTTGAGAACCGTCGCTGTGTATAATTATATTTGGATGGAGCCGTAGCAATCGCGAAATGAAGTAACGCAAATCTCCAGAACAGCATAACAGTCTAAGACGGTAGCATTCAATTGAATATGATAGCAATAAATTATTCTACAGCGTGTTGGGTTTCATACGCACCAATTCAATATTTAATCATCTCATGCTAATATTGCGTGCGTGAACCAGTAACAATTCACGTACGCACATTTCTTTTCCACCTATGCTACTATTTCAACACATCGCATAAACAGCTACTACGGATCTATTTCCCCGGTACTGGGGTATATGAGAGTATACTGGCGGAAAAGAAACCGAAAACCAAAAAAAAATCAATTTCAATCAAATCATATATAATTTAATTCGCGAATATAATGGAGCAAAATGAATTTTGAAAGCAGTGCCTAATTATACAAGATTAATGACTAACCGCAGTACAAAAGTAGTCCATGCGACACACATTCTCATTTAAACGCTTTAAATCGAATCTATCGCCGTACACTTACATATGTAGCGGTTAGGTGACCACTGGTAATTACCGTTTAGTAATAGACTTCCTGGGACTCCATTCATCTTCAAGTAACACAATTTGTAATCCATTAGTTAGGAAAAAATGATTTTTTCACAAGAATTTCTCAAACGATTCATAGGGAGCTAGCATGTTTTAATAGTTCGAAATGTAAATTGTGGGAGATGCCGTTGGACAAACTTGATTGTTTTATCGCAGATTTTAGATCTCAATATGACATATTGTTACATCACTAATGTCACTGAATTGACTAGTGGTATGGCTAGCGAAGTTGAATGATGTGCTTGGTTAGTCTAAATTCTAAAATATGTCAAAGAATATTTCTGGTTCATTGCACTGGAATTTTCAGTGGTTAAAGATAAAAATTTTCTTTAGAAGGCTATTACTCTCATTTATTTCTGTTAGCACTGTGGGATTCGTTATTTTAACACGTAATAAACATGTTTTTATGCTGGCACTCTTCTTGTTGTTCTTTTGATCACGTGCTCATCGAACGTCGGTGGTGTGTAACGAAATTCTTTCTTTGAAAAAGATTTGTAAATGTGGAATGACGAACAGCGCCGTAGGTACCGGTAGCGTCAAAGGTAGGGACTGCTTCGCTCCTATCAACGTGTCCATACATTTGAGCATTGCTCTCTTTTTATTTTAGGATGAATCCATAGGGAACACGATCCAGGCATATGGAGTAAGAGTTTGGTATGTTTTGATTGAAATGTGAGTAAAGGTCGCAATCTTATTTTCACACTTGCCGTAGTAGGAGTACAAATTTTGAATTCTCCGGAAATGGCATTTCAAGCTTAATGATGATAATTGAAATCAAAATTTATTACGAAAACTCAAGTTGAATCCGCAATCTCAACGAATTATTAAACACGACACAGTTATTGTTGTCCAGAGCTGCATTCGGAGTCAGATTTTCCTTCAAACTTGATAAAATTTTCGAATGGCTCATAATTCGCAATGGGAGTCGCTTGTAAATTTTCACGAACCTATAACTCCACTCGCCACACATTTAATTTCTATATTTCTCCACAGTACGAAAATTTCTCAGAAAAGATAAATAGAAAATTCAATGGTGTAAGATTTCCATAAAAATTATCAATTGCATCTCGCCATTAAAAAAGTCATAACACGCATTACAAGTAGGTCTGGGCATTTGCGAATACCTGATGATTTCAGAATGGAATCGAATATTTTTTTTCGAGTCGAATCTCGAATACTTGGTAGATATAAAATTGTATGCGTTTATTTCATTGTAATTGGTCCTGTCAACAAATCAATTACTGAAAACATAGAATAAGTCATTATGACAGATTTCTGAGCGTTCACCCACAATAAGAAACACGTTTTAGCAATAACTCACTACAGAAAATAGTCATATTGCGTTAACAAAATATTGCTTCAATAAAAAAAATTGAGGAATTCACCTTGGCGGAAAGAAAAAAAAAGATGGCGGAGATTGGAAATTTTACTTTGAACCGTATAATTACTTTTCGATTCGAAATGCCCAGCCCTAACTATAAGTCATTATCCAAACAACTATAGTCCTCGCCGCGGCCATAGTAATTCCAGTTATTAAGACTCGATGTCTGCTAACATTTTGTTGACTTTCTTTTGTCGTCTCTCCAATAGGAATATAGCAATTAAACAAAATGATGTCAAACCGATTAAAGTAGCGCAAGAATAAAATGGCTGTCGGACATCACCGGTTCTGTCCACCAAACGACCTGAATAAAATATTTTAATGTTGAAAAAAAAATTAAAAAAAAAAATTATCATGCATTGAGCTAAGTTGGTTACGAGATTTTCAATACTTATCGGGGATGACAAAACTTCGACAGGACGTCTGAATTTTACGGCCTATTGTCCGTTTACATGTTCAGGCTTTGTAAGTAAAAACGCTCCAGAAGTGTGTACCAATATGGAGGTAACTAATTTTGTTCGCCGACTTTACATCAAGTTGTGTAAATGGACTGGAATGGGACCTATGGGCAGTGGGTATATCCACTTGGCAAACACAGAAGTCCCCGACTCAGAATAGAACTAAAATGAAGAAAATTGGAATAAAATATGGCCTAACCCTAACCTGGTGCACATACTACGGGAGTACCAAAGAAAATAGTTATCATTTTCAATAACACAGGTGTACTGTTGTGGCGAGCTAGATAGGACTGCTAAATTGTATGGTAAACCACGGGCTCTTGTCCGTTTGTCTGTTCAGGCTGGGCAGAGATAAAGTTTTCGTGTTCAGGGTGTCCATGGGTGTCCCTTTACAATTTCAATTTTGTTATGAAGTCAGTTCTCAATATATCTTAACTAGGTTTGTTGTTTTTTAATCAGAATTGTTCAAGTATTTTTAGTTCATTTGATACGTTTGTGAGGACCAAAACAATATTTTGGTATCGACAAATTCCATTTGCAATTTTAAAAATTTTTGAGACTGCACACCCGATATATACCCGTAGTACACATGTATAAATGGGGGGCGCGGAAGAAGCCGTAACCGCCAATAGGGTGTTAGCTCTAAATATGTTAGTATCGCAGGTTACATAGCTTGGGTTCGAATCCCATGCTAACCACCTCACAAATGGCGTAATAAAGTGAGTAGACAACGCTTAAACGGAAAAATTCCGTTCATCGCAAAATAACAGCTTTTTTCGTATAAATGACTACTTGAACGGAGCTTTGTTTGGAGCGAAGACCTGATAGAATTATGGAGCAGGAGAAAAATATTGGAATCGGCATCGCATGTTGAAGATCTCGGGATCAAATCCCATGACCACCGCCCCACGCAGGGTAATTAATGGGGTGGGCAATGATGTACCGGAAAGACTTGTGGATTTACAAAAAATGTAGTTCCTCAAGTATTAACAGCTACTTTTACACAGACGTAATCGAATTGAAGGCCTGAGAACGCTCTACAAAAATATATTCATTATTTCAAAAGAAGACATGTCCGCGAAAGTGCAGATACGGCAACATTAGTCAGAACAAATTTTCAATGTACACATATCGTTCGTTATGCGAATTGGAATGCTACGTTAACCGCACACTTGTTCCGACTCGTGATACAAGTTTTTATCAATTGCGTTCATTATATTACTTCTAATGCATAGAAACGAATACTATTTAATAAACATTTAGAACGCGTGAGGCCACTATGCTAAGTTTGGCGGTTTTCAAATTTTAAAACAGGAAAACAAAATCACGACCTCATCTTAAGTATGTTGTATAGAGCAGGTTACGGTTAGGCCATAATTTCATTTCGATTTTCTTTATTTTAGGTCTATTACGAGTTCAGGGACTGACTGTGTTAGCCAAGTGAATTAACCAATTGTCCATCGGTTTCCGTTCCTTTATACAACTTGATGTAAAATAGGCGAACAAAATTAGTTACCTCCATATTGGTACACACACTTTAGGAGCGCACGAAAAAGTGCACAACTCACCCATTAGATAAAGGTATAACGCGAGAAAGCTGTTATAAATACATCCCTGATATCCAACTGCAGTTGCCAGTTTTTTTGGTCCAACTATATCACAGAATATTACTGGTATTATTCCCATATACGCTGTCACAAATAATCCATACGCAAAGGTTATTACAGCAAGACTTAGGTAACTTTCACAGACTGTTATTGTAGCAACAATTATACTGCATACTACCGCCATGATTGCCAAAAGAATACACCTGAAATATTGAAAAATGTTGTAACTTTAGTATACAGATGTACATATTTCAGATTTATATATATATTTATATAAATAGAGTTAAAAAAAAGTGCTCAAAGCAAATCGCTGGGAAGCAAAGGAAACTGATCTCTGGGCGCGTTATCCGTTATTAGAGATATACGAGGATGTTTATATGATACTTTAACATCTGGCAGGTTATAACAGCAATGTATGAAATAGTTGCTGGTTCAGAGCCGTGTTAAGTGTAAAGTTGAGAAAAATTCCAACATTTATACAATTTTATTCCTGATATACCATTTTTTCGGAACACCTTAAAGTTTTCATCACGGAACACTAGCGAAATACACTCATTATATGATTATATTATACACGTCTGTGTTTAATCATATTCAGGAAACACACATATAATAATATAGACTCTCATTCAAATATAAACTTGCAGATCCATCGAACAGTACTGGAGAAACACCTTGATATATATCAGGGGTGGCCAACCTGCTTTCGATCGCGATCGACTAAAATCTTCGAAAATACCTCGCGATCGCCAAATCGGTAATAAGGCCATACACAAAAACGAAGGAGTACTGAATACGCAGATATTTGCACACGCGCGCACAAAAATTCCACCGCTGCCATTAAGCTCGGCTCTGCGGTCGGATTATCAATGAAATTGCCACAAAAATTTGCATTTTCATGCTTCATTCAACTTGTTAATTTGATGTTTCATCATTTATCTTCGTATCATACACGTTAGATCTAGGGCCTGTCCTATTTTTAGTCGTGAGTGTTTTCAATTCCTCAAAAAGTGTCCAAGTATTATATAAACAGCGAATGATGAATATTCTCAAAACATAAATGGTATATTTCAAACTTCAGTATCTAATTTACAATTTTCTTCAAGTCCGATTCTTTGCTCGCTTGGAATTAAAGAAAAAATTGGGCATTCTGATAACACTGCTACCGTTGCGAATAAAATTTATCAAACTACTCTTGGGAGAGAGACAATAACTTTTGCACAGTGCAGAAATTGTTGTAGAATCGTATGCCAGTCAAGACAGATGGTATTCAGTACGTATTTTGAGCAGGTATACAGCAACTATATTCTTCCCATTTTAAAACACACAACAGGCGCTGTATGAAACAGTGTTAAGGCAATTTTGGGGGGTATGTTATTCAACTTAATCAACATCAAACGCGATCGAATACTCGAGACGTGACGATCGACGTGTTGGCCACCCCTGTATATATTACGACTGTTTATATGCCTATGGATTTGCATTATTACTGTAGTCGTTGGCGAATGCCTTGCGAAAGTAAATATTGCAATTACATGACAGGTAATATCCATTCACCTAAGGCTCGAACCTGTCAAAGTTACGCATAGTCATAGTAGCTAGTCCAAAATTTGGCGGGAGTGGCATTTTTGTTGTTGTTGTATAATGACGTAATACGACGCTTACCCGTGGTACGAACAATGCTAGATAAAAGATATCTAACAACAACACCATTTCGCAGACGAAGTTATCCAAGGTATACAAGCGCGCATTTTCATCTATCTCGGTTGGTTATTTGTTTAAAGGATTATTGATAGTAAGCTAGGGAAAGTCAGATTTCAGTAAATCGTTCAAGAATACGGTAAAATGATGTTGGAGAAGGAATATAAGCATTTATGTCTCGCACAGGCCTATCAGCCCCCTGGTACGCGCGAGACTGTGGTATTATTCCTAACCTTGCGGCGCGCCAATCGTCAAACTACAACACATAAATATCTGATTATAAAAAATTATATCGCAAATGAATTTTTTTTTAGTCATAACTCACTTGTTAATGCACTTCACGTCTCCCAAAAACCCAGTGACGATTTTGGCGACGCATTCTGCCCCACCTAATAACGATAAAATAGTGGATGCCTGCAAAGTATCGATGTGGACATGTTCCAATGCGTATGGTATGAGGAACGTGTTAGCTCCGACCTGAAAAAATATTTTTGGAGTAATTAATGCGTAAGGCAAGAGAAGCAGAAATGTGGGGTCGGAGTTTACGTGATTTCACTGGAGATGGAGCCGTATTTCATTTTCGAAATCCTCAGTCGGAGTATGAATTAGGAATTTCAGACTTTCAATAGTGATAAAAGAAGTTAAACTTTCCTATAGAAGCCAAATTGGCATTAAGTTGACTTGTAGCGATTTTAAAAGGTCATTAACGTAGGCTTGTATACGACGCAGTGTGTTTGTTATCAAATTTTTGTCTTTTCGAAATTCGAATCTGGAGTCGAAGCCATATTTTTTTTTACTAATAACTAACAATTAAATACACTATCGAATTCCGTCTCAATTTATTTCAATGGGAACTTTTTGAATGAATTACTCAATCTTAACTACTGGTAAATGACATGGTTATTTGATGACTCCGACCCAAGTACTGGTATATCGTTTAGTTAGAGTGTCGGAAGGCTAAATTCAAAGATATTCATGGCTATCCAAATGCATACGCACTACTTCTATTAGTGAAAAAAATCGCGGAAAACTAAACCTGGTTATCGTGCCGATAAGCATGCATGATTGATACATTTATAACTTCCATATAGCCTATAATTCACGGTAGACACAATAAAAATAGAACCCATAAATTGCCTAATCATTGGTTCGAAAATGAAAAAAAATATCGAACACTTGAAAATAATTCTGTGTATGTTTGTTTGTGCCCACAATTTTCAGTAATCTTGGACGCTTTACACAAAAGTTACGTTCTCTGTATTTAGACCATGTTTCAATATATGACTTGTATGTTTTTGGGTCGCTCTGTACATTGGAACAGTTCCGTTAATAATTAGCAATTAAATAAATAAAAACTTACATATCCGGAGCAGTAGAATATGGAGCTCAATAGTCCAATATCGTAGGAGATAAGTTTAAAAAGTTCGACGTCGATAATAGATTTAACTTTATTCTTGAATGTAGAATTACAACTGTTCTTATTTTGTTGGGCATTGGAAGCCACTTCCATTTCTCGAGTTATTTCAAAATCTGACTTTTCCGTTGGCGTAACTAGTTTGGTCATTGGATTTTTCTCGTCGTGATCGTCAAATTGTGGTGAATCAGACGAAATTTTCGACTTTGAGAATTCCTTTAGTTCCGTTGGCGTGCTTTTCTTTCGAATACCACTGATAGAACCACGGGTAGACTTTCTACGTGGCGCCGTCGGCGCTAAAATCACAGGTCTATATAGCATTGCAGATACGCAAGAATGAAATAATATTCCAGATGCAATTAAAAGTGATCCTCGCCATCCGTATAAAGTTGTTAACAGTTCCAAAATAGGCGCAATGACAAGAGTACCCATAGGTAGGCCTAATGTAGATATACCAGTCGCTTTAGCTCGATGTTTCACAAAATACTGGCTTGATGAAAATAATGAAGTAAAAAATAAAATCCCGGCACTGCAGCCTGTGAACGATATGAGGCATATAATTAGAAAAATAAGTTGCAAATAAGAGCTTACTAGCAAATATGACTGAATAATGGACAATAATCTTGCGTAAAATTATTTCTATGCATGTTCGAAAGGCCGATATTTTTCAAAATTGAAAGAGTTACTATAGCAATTGACCACTGATTCAGGTTTATTGGTTCATGAAATTATAGTTCACCGAATATTTTTAAGTTCACTCTGAATCACTCGCTGCAAAAATAGCAAGTCGCCCGATAAAAAAAAAGTAAATTCGGTGCGATTTTTTAATCATGGATCCGTCCTTTTTAAAGCATATTTATTTTGATTTGCGTATCAATACACAACATACGTATGTATACTCTAGACGCGACAATGTAAATACAGATTACTCCATGTCGCTTTGCAATGCAAGCTGAGGTAAAACAAGTCATATACAGTATTTTGACAAATACAGACAGCCTAATATACAAACGTCAAAGACAAGTATAATAATATCGCCTTGTTAACTCACCTGATATAAAACCGAGAAATATTTGTACCAAAACAAGAGTGTGACTCTGTGAAGATACAATATTTGCGATTCCTAATAGAAACCCAGCAGCCAAACATGTTCTTTTACTTCCAAATTTTGATGTCAGAAATGGAAGAAAGAAACCTGCCCAGAAAAAAGGTTTGAAGATTAAGTAATGTTATATCCATAATAAAAAAAAATTACTAATTATCAAATTAATGATAATTCCCCTTCGAAATTAAAATTATCAAAATATATTTTACTGCAACCCACTATTTTCGGCGTCACAGGTTAAAGGTTTCGGATTCCAATCCACCGCATTCATTTATTATAAAATTTGCTGAGCATCGTCGAAGTGAAAATACGTCGGTTAATCCATGAAAATAGTTGTTTTATAGCGACACTCGATGCTAGTCTATATATTTGTTGGAAGATATATATTGAATGCAACAATTCAAGTAGCATTTTACCAAAAAGCATAATTATTTGCAAAAAGAATTACCATAAATTCACCATGGCAAATAAGGGTAGGCCGAAATTCTCTCTGGGTTTAACATAAATGAAAACAAGATTACTGAATAGTTTGCCAGGACTGTAAATGGAATTACCAAAATAACAAATAAATTGGACTTACATCCCAAAGCCATTCCCAACGTAAATAATCCCATGATAGCAGCAACGTCTCCAAACTCGGCATCAAATTCCAGCATTATTGGACGAAAGTACACAGGAATACATCGAAAGAAGCCCAACGTTGTGATACCGATTACCGTGTTGCCACATACTACGAGCCATGACCATTTACTATCTGGCAACACCGCGTTTGGCGGCTGCCTGGTGGGTACTTCACCGGCAGTGCCAGCCATTAGAATCTCAACTGAAAAAGTTTGCAGAGATTGTTTATTATCGCGGTGGAGAGGAAAGTCGCTAAGGTGACCTAATCATATGAAGAGCCACAGTTTCTCGTTTGATTATCAGCCCATGTCGGGTATGAGAATAGCCAGTTATTTTTTTATGTGAATGAACTTGATGGCTAAGGAAGCCTGCGACGACGGGAAGTCTAGCAAATTTTTTTTCACATAAATTTCACCCTGGTAAATCCGAGGTGCGGCGGCAAGCATGCCATCATGCTGCCGAAATAACTGCCTCATAATGCAGATTAAATGACCTTATTCGTGTATTCGTCTACCTTTTTATCTATCCCTATGCTTGTCTCGGACTGGTAACAGAAAGAAAGGCTGCGATATGGTTTGCCATATGATTCAGAATAGATTCATAGACGGGTTCCCATTCCCTCGGGGTGAATATAAAGTCTTCTGCGACCTAAACAAAGCTTTAGAAAGCTTCACTGAATTCGTGGTGAATCATATATTTATGAAATAGTGATAGATAAATTCGTTATAACTGTGGAAGACATACTAATTTATAGTATACGTCAAGCCAGGGGTCACCAAACTTTTTTGACCGCGGGCCGGGTATGACTCAAATTGTGTTGAAACGGGCCGGATGAATATTTTTGTCAATGCAAGACAATAAATTCACAAATGTTGGGAATATCGCAGAATATCGATCGAGAACATCCTAGGAAAAAAATTAACAAGATTTCTATATCTAGACAACTATCCTGAGTTTAGCTGTTATCAAAACGTTGCTGTCATGAATTAGAAATGTTACAAAATCCGCGGCAAAAAATGTACGCATCACATCTGCTCGTAAATATATACTACTACGGTCTGCTAAGTACCGTTACGCCTTGTTGAAATACCTCTCATAAAAACGACTACCTGCTGTAGCTTGGAATTCTATGAAATTTTGACATAATTTAGAAAATAAAAACAACTATTATCTGGTATTTGTATTTTTATTCATTTGCGCATAAATTTCCCAACATTCGACGCTTTTAAAAATTACGCTCCAGTTATACGTAGTGCAAAATAATGATATTGTCTATGGACACCAATAAAATGTATGTGGACGTGTGTATTTCTTTCTTAACTTGATACAATTTTTATGAAGTTCGTACAATCAGAACATCGTTAATTATTACCCACAATGAACCACTGTCAAACTATTATGCACAACTCCAGCGTTTATTTGCGACGATCTTTCGGCGGTGTCAATGACCGTTGCCAGAATAAAAATCTGAAATAGTCTCAATATACCATAGATGTGACGCACAACGAAAGATTAGTGATTTTGATATGTGTTATTTTTCCATATTTAGTTCAGTTCTTATCAAAAAAGTAATACAATCATTATGGAAAAAATTGGCCAGTCGGGCGGTACTAAAATTCCGATATCTCCGTTATTTCTTGACCGTTTATTGTAAACTTGGTATTGTTTTCTATTTTTACTCAGATCTTTCCACTGGAGCAGTTTAGTTTTGTCGAAAGCACGCGCCACGAGTGTACAAGTGTATCGCAGAAAACGTTACGTTATGGTAGCATTCAAAGTCGCAAAAACGAAGTTTTGTTTACAACCACAACTGAAAATCTGTCGGGGTGACAAAAGTGACTGAGCGGACGCGGAAAGGCCAATTATTACGTCACTTTTTTGCATCTTGCCGATTGGCCAATGTTACGAAATAAACAAAGACGACGATGCTCGTGAAAATCTCCCTTGGAAAACAATTTAGCCATTTTTGTGTGTTATTGCGGACCGGATAAAATGACGCCGCGGGCCGGATAAAATGACGTCGCGGGCCGGATGCGGCCCGCGGGCCGTAGTTTGGTGACCCCTGCGTCAAGCCATGGATGTTTCCCCGGCCCCTGACAAATTCTCCACATACTTTACTATTGCAACATTTTGGATGCTTAATTTGCCAGTGTTCTGGAAAGTTGTCACTTACAAACTGAGTTACATGATCAAAACCATCATTTTTATATATAATATAAAATATACAATTAGGTGCCGCTAACAGGTACTGATAGCTAATTTTGGTATATGTATATATAGAGTCTATCGCATTTTTGATTACTGCAACTAAACTAAAGCTCATCGGAAGACATAATGACAATTAAATTACTTCAATTACATCTAATTTTCCGAAAACCAACTAAAATCTGACAAATAACACGCAAAACCACGAAAACGAGGCAATGTTTACAACCACGCTTGAATATCTATCTGTCTGATCCAACGGAGTGGCTAATTTCGAGTAAACAATTTTGTGTGTGACACACAATTCTAATATCTGAAAATTCAAACGGAAACGACAAATACTTCAACATGGTTGTTGCGTCATGTGTACACTTAAAGCGTAATATTTTTTACGGATTTAAAAGTTCTGTCACGCGTGGCCGAGCGTTGGCTAACGATCACACTATATCGATCAAGGTGCTGTTTTTAGTCTTCTAGAATCGAGGCCACTGAATGATAATATTTATTTACTGGTAACCGTTATCATTTCATAAACGGTGTGTTGGTAAGCGATTGCAAGTGTCGACCATAATTCGTGTTACTACCTCGTCTGCTTGTTGAGCGATATTATGCTACCTATATGCAGTTTTGTGGCAACCAGATATATTGATGTGATAATGAAAGCGGAAACGAATAATCTTTGATCACAGCAACGATAAACGTCACATACATAGCAACATGTACTGACCCTTTGCTAGAAAGGTAAAGGCCACTCAAAAACATATCCGCCAATATGCTCAATTATTTTAGGTGAGTGAATACGTACCGCTTCTTCTTAGCAAAACCTTCCATATTATATACATTATGTGTGTTTCAAACCTTATCTAAGGTTTTGTTTGCTCTCCTGATTTCATAATCATTTTTATTTATTTATTTTTACCAATCATTTCATTGTTATGCTGAATATGGAGTCGAAATAAACTTACAGTATACTTATAAATTAGTTACCGGCGCGTATGGTCGAATAACTCAAACGTTCCTTCTCAAAATGCCTTTGGGCGTCTTGCCTATTTGGCTATCTGAACAAACAAAACGCAAACGACTTGCAATCTGATTAAAATAATACGATCAAAATAGATATCCATTTAAATGAAACGCTTCCTTATTCATTTCCTATCGCTGACTGTTCTAGAATCTGGGACTAGGTGATCGAAATGTTGTCGAAGCAAATGTGAGATTGCTTAAATGAGATGAGAGCTGCATCTCATTCGCATGTGTTTTGCGATATGTTTCTGGAAATATATCCCGTTAATGTACTTACTCAAAACGCTGAACAAGTGAAGTGGTCTTCTGTTCGGACTTAGACGCGAATCGCTATCCACCGATACAAGGTTATATCGCATTACGTTTTTCTTAGTCTTCGATTGAATTTCAATACAAGATTGCTGTTTTTGGAAGGATAATAAAAATTTTGAATTGGCGAAATAAATTCTACAAAAACTTGGTAGGGAGCTAGAAATCGCGAAAAACTAGTACAATAGAATTCGGGAACGTCAATATTCCATAACGCAAGAACGCTAAAGGTCCATGAAAAGTTAATGGTGAATGTTGTTATGAATAAAATATCTGAATCTGAATCTAAATTCAAGCCAAATGAAATATGACCCGCTTACTATCAACTGACCACAAGAGAAGAGTCAGAAAGCTGGAAAGAAAAAAAATCAACGCCACACACCTGAGACCTGACGATAATATCGCATTTCTTTGCTATTTACGCTCTGATTCAAATCTCTACAACGTAGTACTGGAGTATGCTTAACAGTCAGAAGTAAACCTCAACACTGCGAGCTTTTCCACACTCGACGTGCCATCAACGAACGTTATGTTATTAATCCCACATCGAGCCGGCTTTTGTTTGCTCTCGAGACGAAACACAAAAGGTGTGCAAATGGAATTGCTAGCTGTTATTCTTGCCGCTATTTTATTTAAAAAGAAAAAAAAACACGAAGGTGAAACTTATAGAACTTCAACAAGATGCGAACCAGAAATATTATAATCTGTAAATCAATTTTTCCTATGGAAATATTTATGAAGCCATATCGGTAACTGACCTGTCCCATTATCTTACTTACGCTTGAAAAAAATATACGCCTCAGTGGTTTCGGGGTGTATTTCGACTCCACCAAATATTTAAATGGTGCATGGCAAATATTTTTAAATTCTTCAAAACTTCTTGAAAATGAAGGAGGCAGTTATTCAAATATATGAAACTGAGTACAAATGTATTTCCAGCGCATTAAATTCAGGTAAAATACTCATAAAAAGCATTTCGTTGTGTCACTTATTCTAAAGCCGCCACCTGCGCGCTGTTCTGTCTGCCTGTGTTGTTATTGTCACATGTAGTATCGAAGCATGAGTGCAAGTAATAGCGAAAGTGGAGGTAGTGACGAGGATACGAAGGAGAAAATAACTAATGAAGAACTACAAGACAGTAATAAAAGGAAAATAGAAGAACCGGAAAATGACGAATGGGTTGGTCCTTTGCCATCTGAAGCAGTGAAAACGAAAAAGAGAAAAGGTAAAACACTTAAAATAGAATGACAATTTTTGTAACTCTAGAACTCATAGGATAAGTATGACAATAATTCTACTACCTACTATTTATGTTAAAAAGATTTCTGCAAATAAATGTTTCCCAATTCAGCAATGTACAGATGTATGGGATTTTAATCTGTTCGCATCCACAGAATTTAGGCACAAGAGTAGGGACTTGTGTAGTTTTGTACCGGTACCTAACATAATTCTAGTGGGCGTAGCATAACAATTTTTTCACGTATCAATCCTAACCACACCTGACTACACCATCAGAAAATTACATCATTACGACGTCACAGTGATGTAATAGAGCCCTTCAAACTATACAAACTGCCATCCAAGACGCACAAACGAACACCCAAAATCGAACAGTTATTTCTCTCGTTTTCTCGTCGCAACGATTCCAATAGGAGAGAGATCGATAACGTCAGGCAGTTCTTTATTGCCGGAGCCAATGCAATTTCGGGCGATTGTACGTATATTTGGCAAGCTCTATGACGTGATTGTGATGTCGTAGTGACGTAATTTTTGGATGGCGTAGTCAGATCTGGGTTAGGATTGACATATCAAAAAATTGTTATGCTATGTTCACTAGAAGTACATTAGGTAGGAAGCTACACGAGACCCCGTACTTCTAGTGGTCGTAGCATAACATTTTTTCACGTGTCAATCCTAACAACCACCTGACTACGCCATCCAAAAATTATTTCAGTGAAACGTCACAGTGACGTTACTGACGTAATATGTTGTGCTACGCCCACTAGAAGTACGTTAGGTACGAAACTATACGAGACCCCAAAAGTACAGATCTCACAGTATAGATACTCCTTGCCATATTATTGAGACGTCTTATCACCTTTCCTTTTCCCCGGGCTGCCGGGATAAAATGAAAATCATATTGTATCCTTGTTAAACCACTGTACTTGCTGTACAACTATAAAATTATAATTCCTGCAATTTAAATCATTTTCACAGTACTGGAATATGAACAAGTATTTCTTCACAATTTACCGAGTACGGACAGATATGAGCGAAGTTATATGCATCGAGATGCTTTGACCCATGTTGCAGTTGCAAAATCAGATTTCATAATAACAACGAGTATCGATGGACACGTCAAATTTTGGAAGAAAAAGGAAATAGGAATTGAATTTGTGAAACATTTCAGGTCAGGTAAATTTTTGTGTTTCGTTACTCTATTATCCAAATATGATATGGAAGAATAAACTGTTTTAATAATTATACTCTGTTATCAGTCTTAATAAGGCAAAGAAAAAAAACAGCCAACTTAAGTTAAAGATTGTATATAAAATTCGATTCAACGCCTTCATTTGAATGCAGGAAATGATTGAAGTAACATATTCTTCTCTTTTTACCATTATTTTTTTGAAATTGGACAATTCATACCATATAAGAAAATGGGTACTCCTGTAGTGTGTGTACCAGGTTAGGGTTAGGCTTTTGGCCAAGGGAATGAGAAAAATCAGCCAGGCACGCATTCAGGATTTTCGAAAGGAAGGGGGGTTCCAAATCGAAAATTTTCCATCCCTTATAAAACAGTCGCCACGATTACGGCCGAGTATTTCAGCGTATACCGCGGTTTGGGAACCACTGCTTTATGGTATCAGCCACTCAAGGGTTCTTCATGAATATGAACTTCAAACATTTTTCAAAATTTGCATATATCCATTGCAGTAAGTGTTGCCTGTATTGTTGTGTTGTTTCATCATGTAAACTCCCTTGCATAAACAAATATGTATACTTCACCATTACTGCTGTTACATCATGTACCCTCAGGCTGTTGCTCTGCCTATTAGCCCCAACTGTCTTACTGAACGATTTATATTGTATTGTGTTCAGAATTTATCCATGGATACTGCACATTTGTTTTTATCCTGTGCATTCTCTGGCTTAAGTTTTTTATTTCATCATTTTTATTATTTCTATAGAGCCCATCTAAAAGCAATAACATGCATGGCTGTGAATTGCGGTGGAGAATTGATGTGTACGGTAGCAGAAGATCAAGCTATGAAAGTTTTTGATGTCATAAATTTTGATATGATAAATATGATCAAACTTGGGTAAGAATTGTTATTTCTTTATCGCATTCTGAACAAGGTTTCTGCTGGGTCTTGCAAAAGGATAAATTACTATTGAATTTGCAATTAAATATATCCCAATACTGTGATTCCAACAAAATAAAAACAATCTTCTTGTTTGCACATAATCTTTTTCCTAATAAAAATTTTTTTAAGGATTTTGCTCTAAGCGAGGTTACGTGTATTCCCTAAGAAGCTGTAAATTTAGACACAATTCTATGCGATCTTGCGAGCTGAAGGATATATGTTTTATTCGACATATTTTCATCTTTTTCAAGGTATACACCAAGTGTATGTGAGTGGATTATGTCCCCAGGATCTCATCTTCCAGCGGTTGCAGTTGCTGAAAAGGATTCGGGAATAATCAGAATATACGATGGAAGGTCAGTGGGGTGGATATTTTGAAATTTATTAGCAGACGAGCATAGACTAGCGTTTCCCAATTGGCGAGAAATTCTGCGGAATTGTATTGTTTACAGTACCTGTGTGTAGCAGAGCTAGAGTGCTAGTCGTGCGTATTTATACATATATTACAATTCCAGCGTAACGTCATAGTCATGTTGGCGTCACAAATTGCTAAGTTCAAGCTCTATTTCTGCCAGATATGGGATAAATTTAGTATGCAGTACCGAATCGGGATTGTTTTTTTAAAACATAAACTCATCGCTAGACACTTGTACAGAGGAGATGGATAATTGTAACTAAGCTTGATGGAAAATTAAGTCTTCGGCACATTTTTCATTTCCTATTTTATTCAAGGGGAACGCATGAACCACTCCACGTCTTAGACAAACTACATGGAAAACCAGTCACAGCTATCAAATACGATCCGATAAATAGAATTGCGATATCTTGTGATAGACAAGGAATGCTGGAATATTGGTTCGGTGAGATTTCTTTTTAAAAAACATGGATGGCGTAATGATTGAAACGTTACATTTAACTCTGTTAGCATTGCATGTTACACATCACAATGTCAAATCCTACCTACGTCCTACGTCTACGTCTGGAGAGATTCCAGTTCTCCTAAAAATATTAACCTCCCAATATATTGTGATATATCTGATGCTTGCACAGGGTTTTGTTTGGAGAGAAAGGTGCAAACTAGTGCCATGTATAAAACTACTAGATATTCAATGAAGTTTTGGATATTTTTATCATGTCAAATTAACAGATTATTGAAATTAACGAATTCTACTTGTTTTTGATTGGGACTCTGTGTTACTGATGACATCACAAGTCAGAGGTCATGCTCAGCCAACTGGAAAAGTACTAGTTGCCAAAATTACAATAGCCTATTCAAATTGAATGAATTTTATTCTTGCTTCATAAATTAACTAGCATTTCATTTTGAAAAAAAAAAGATTTTTATCTTTGTTTAGGTCAAGAAAAAGACTTCAAATTTCCATCTGGAGTCGTTAAATTCAAGTTCAAAACTGATACAGATTTATATGAGCTTGCCAAAAACAAAACTTACGCTCACTCAATAGCTACATCTCCAAATGGAGCATTCTTTGCTTGCTTGACAGCGAATAGAAAGGCTTACGTTTTTCATTTTCTGTCGGCTAAACTCTCTCGTGTTTTCAATGAATCTTTAAATGTAAGTGTATTTTTGGTTTGTTTGCGGATTGTAAATTAAATAAGTCTGTGATATAGATCAGGGTCACTTAACTGGCGGACCGCGGTCCAAATCCGGACCTTTCGAGTATTACATTTGGACCGCAGCTGCTTCTTGACTTTGGATACATCATTCGATCGTTCCATTTCAAAATCATAATGTAATGAGTTGTCCGCTAAATTACTAAGGAAAAAATGACAAAGCAGCCAATCGTATTTTCTCTACTTAGTCAAAAAGCTTGAAATGTTTTTGTTAGTTCTGTTCCAGCGAATTTATTTGAGCCGAACATCATTAACCCATAATTTCATTACAATTAGTTTCAATGTGATAACTGTTAGACATGTTACTTTACTTTACAGACATTTGTTGAAATGCAACAATCAAAAGCACAACTTGCGAATATGGAGTTTGGTAGAAGGATAGCTGTGGAAAGAGAACTTGAAAAATTGCCAGTAAGTTTGTTAATAAGTTTGAATTCCCTGAGTTTGAGAAGGAAATAATGCGGGATTTGCTGGCAATATTGTGGAGTCGGGCTTCTTATGTTTTTATTAATACGATCACTGGTTTTGGTTTTGCACAGCTTCGTTTTGCTGTGAAATTGTAGGTACTCCCGTAGTGTGTGTACCAGGTTAGGGTTAGGCCATATATTTATTCCGACTTTCTTCATTTTAGTCCACATCATTTTCACACTGTCTGTGTTAGCCAATTGAATATACCTTCTGCCCATAGGTTTCAATCCCTTTACACAACTTGATGTAAAGTATGCGAACAAAATTAGTTACCTCCGTATTACACACTTCTGGAGCGCCGGCTTGCTGGCTTATTTTGTTTTCATTGGTAAGATTGCTGTCTTTGACGACTTCCTTTGCCGGAAAATTGTGTGTTTAATCTTTAATTATAAATTTGGAAATTTAGTGTACATCGTACATATGGAATTGTCCCAATATATTTTATTAGCTATAACTTGCCTTTTATTACTTTTATGATCATCAATAGTCACTCCTTGGCCACAGCTCTTTTGTGGCTTTAGCGTTGTTGAGGATAATACTATTTTTTTTTAATTTACAGGAAAGTTTTGGACTGAGTAACCTAATTTTTGATGAAACAAGCAACTTTTTGATGTATGGTACAATGTTTGGCGTGAAGCTGATTAATCTACATACAAACAGGTATTTACGATGTATGTACTATTGTCAGGGGTGTGAAACCTTTAATACACGAGGGCCAGATACGAAAAGCTGGGTGAAATCGCAGGTCGCAACGTTATTTAACATAGGCTTCCTAGTAGTTGCAGGCACAAAAATTTTGGTTATCGATCTTATGACATGCCTGGTTTGTTTCGCACAAGCTATAAATTGGACTCGGGTAAAGACTTTGCGATGCAAAGGGATTGGAATTACTCAAACGTACCAGATTAAACTAAATTAAAAACTCGTTTCGCGGGACGAACATCTATTTAAAATTGGCACTTCTCCGTGAGCCGCACAAATTTACATTTGGCCCGCGGGGCCGTGATTAGAGGTCTGATGCGAAAAAAGCAAGATGCTTGCTCTTTATTTGATAACATGGAAAAATGTCATCCATACAGATAATATTGTTATTTCTAAATTATAATTTTTTAAACACCAAACAACATTCCAGATGTGTCAGATTCATTGGAAAGTCTGAAAACATCAGGATTCTCCATATTTCCTTATACCAAGGAGCACCAAAGAAGCGACAATCCGCGATAACTGTTGACATGAAATTATCCGATAATCCCGGCCTACAGGAACCAGAGAACGATCCAACCTTGTTTTGCACAGCATATAAGAAAAATAGATTTTATATGGTAAGAAAGTAAAACTGATTTAGGAACCTGCGAAATTTTGCTATTTTCACTTTTCAAGCGAACAATATTTTTTACGGCCAGATTCAGCATAAAAAGTTTGTTTCTTTTTTTATATAGTCTTCAATGGATGGTGAAACTTGGCGCTTGGCTTCTGTTTGAATAGGTTATAGATATTGCATGCATAAATATACAGGTGTCCATAATATCCCTTTACAGTTTCAATTTTGTTATGAAGTTGGTTCTCGATTCATCTTAACCAGGTTTGTTTGTTTTTAATCAGTAATTGTTGAAGTATTTTTACTCCATTTAATACATCCAGGAAGGCCAAAACAAAATATGGTATCTATAAATTCCCTTTGCATATATAAAAAAAAATTTAGGACTCTACGGACAGCTGATATATCGCATTACAACTGTAAAATGTACGCAGTACTAAATAAATTTACTTACCCAAAATTTTTCCTCTGGAGGAATTCCTACCTTTTTTGGAAACTTCTTTGTTGGTGGCACTGAAAATATCTTTCAGAAATTTGTGAAATATTAATAATTCCAATTTATTTAGTTTACAAAACGTGCACCTGATGAAATTCAATCAACAGATGGCGATAGAGATGTTTTTAATGAGAAACCATCAAAGGAGGAAGTCCTAGCATCCATGCAAGTTATAGAGAAAAGAGTAAGTGGATTATATAGGTTCATCTAAAAGTAAATAGAGGGGGAGGGGGGACTTGTCAGCACAGCAACCACTAACATTTTAAGGCCTACATGACGATGCTAGTGATACATTAATTAGATAATGAATTGTATGCTGCCACTTGCATATTGAGGCCACAATTCAGAATATGGTGCTACAATTATGGGTAAGGGAATTGCAAGGCCTACATGTAGATGTTAAATAAATGCCTGAAGAAAAAACTTGCCGTATCTTCAGTACACAGTTAAAACTGCTTTGTATACTTGATGTTTTCTAAGTTTTTATAGAAAAATTGAATCACTATTGAAAGTCTGTAAATCTGACTTTTTGTACCTGCGGTGCGTAGAAAAAGTCAAAATTTTCGTTATTCTCGTTTAAATCATACTTGAAAACTGGAAATACCAATATATTAATTATGTAACAATCAAAAATAACAAGCGCCCGTGCTTGAATAGGGGCCGGTTTGAATAAGGGCCCGGTTAGTGAGTTGGTTGAAAAAAATAAGGACCTGGGCTACAAAACGAGCAAATACGGTATTTCTGAATATTGTCTCCCGACTCCCAATTGTGGGGAGTTCGAACGAAAACATAACTTGGACTCTTATCGAAAACATGCCTTGTACTGCACAGTCGTCTTTGTAATATGTTCTTGGTTTGAAAATAGACATTATTTTATATTCAAGGTTTCTGACAAAGCAATCATACATACCACAGTAGGAGATGTACACATCAAATTATTTATGAATGAATGCCCGAAAACTGTTGAGAATTTTTGCGTTCACTCTAGAGATGGATATTATAATGGCCACATATTTCATAGAGTTATAAAGGTATGTATTGTTTATGTTGCAATTGAATAAGCAAGTATTCTGTCCATATGGACCTTGCACCGCTGTCTATATGGGCAGTTCAATTGTCTACAGCAGGGGTCTGCAACCTTTTGTCGCTCGCGGGCCAAAATTAAGAGTTGCAGGTCTTGGCGGGCCGCACATACTTTTAAAAACTTGAAAACTGGTGTTCGATGAATCACAGTTTTTTCCCCACCTATCAGAAGTTGAAATTTAAAAATTTAAGCAGTGCACGAAGACTGAACTCATCTTACCCAAAGAAAAGATTTACAAATGACTTTTAATGTGGCACTCTTGAATGTTTGTTGCATTTTGCTTGATACGTTTTCGACATCACTAAATCGGAAACAGTTTTTAAATGGGAATCACTAATCCGAGATCTATCTATCCACTGGTTGGTTACGGCTTCTTCCACCACCGACATGGATGGAAAAGAGTCAATGGTTCGCTATATCATTTTGCTGTAAAATCAACTTTCCTCTCCCTGTTATAAATATGAAAATCCTATCCTATATCATTTGACAATGGCTGGTAACTTTGCAAGAGGCGTAGCTCTCCATATAAATAAACTGAAGCATTGGCTTTCCTCTCCCCACGATAAATATTGAATTTTAAAGCGGGAATATTGGTCAGAGACCGAAGACTTATCGATCGAAAGTTAGGGGATTCCTCAAAACAGAAACTGTGGTTTCGATTCGTTCGACTCCGTAGTGACACCGCGTGTCCCATCACTAATTAATTAATACCTCGCTAATTATACGACCTAATTCATTCAAAATCAATAGGCTTCTGATCCAGGATATGATGAACACACATGCAAAATTTGGAAAAGATTCAACCTCGCTTCCGTGAGATATCCCGTGCATCTAACAGACACACAAATACCTATCAACATACACACCGATCTTAAGATCGATAAGTAATCACACATCTATATGCTGTATTCCCTCAAGTCAACTTTATTAACTTTCCTTCTAATTAGGATAATTATGAAATCCTTTACTGCCAGGTTCAGCATATTAAATAATATTTTTGTTTTCAGGGCTTCATGATACAGACTGGCGATCCTCTTGGAAGTGGAACTGGTGGAGAAAGCATTTGGGGCGGAGAATTTGAAGATGAATTCCATCCTTCATTGAGGCATGATAGGCCGTACACACTTAGTATGGCTAATGCCGGCCCAAATACAAACGGATCTCAATTTTTTGTTACTGTCGTGCCTACACCGTGGTTGGACAATAAACATACCGTATTTGGACGAGTTGTAAAAGGAATGGACGTCATACAAAATATATCTTTGGCTAAAACTCACCCGAAAACTGATAAGCCGTACGATGATATTTCAATAGTAAATGTTAGTGTCAAGTGATGCTAGAACAAAAAGCATTGCCTGGTATTCTCATGCACTCTGATCGATTGGGTACACGATAGGTAAGGTGTGGATAATGGAAACAAGAAGTTCACTCAATATATTTAAATGCTTGGCTGCAGCCATAGATTGATGTAGCCTACATTTGATATAAAGGTCCTCGAAGTCATACTGCCTATTAGGCGTAAATCTGTTTGAGTATGTGCAAACACTGCCTATGAATGTTCATGCAGTTCATATCGCTAGCTAAATTAATTCCGTCTCTCGTATTTGCATGAAAATTTTATGTATTTTTCGAGCCTTATTTTTTCTGCATATGAAGTGGAGAGGAAAGTGGTCTACTTGTGTCATAGATGCATCATTGGGAATTGGGATTATATTGTGCTGACTCTTAAGCGAAATTAACTCATGGAAAACTTGATTTAAATAAAAGTTACGTCTTTTAGGTACATTTGAACCTAACTTTCGAGAAGAGAGCTTGTGGTGATAGAAAGCAACTTATGCTCTGCAGGTTCTGCATTCACTTCTGCTCCAAAACGGCATATTTTTATTCCTAGCAAAAGGCAACTGTGTGCTGCCAACACCCATCTGTAGTACCATAACTCGAATAGTTCAGAGGCTGATGTTGTAATACAGTTCAGTTGCTTAATAGCTGTTTAAAGAAGTGAAAATGCTGTCTTCAGTCATTGTAGACCGTGGGTGGGCACCGTTTTTAAACCAGGGGCCTAGGATTTTGCCCATTTAGACTGGCGGGCCATGAATTTGTGACGTAATAAACAATATTTACAGTATATCAAAGCAAAGGCGGAAAACAATACATTTCTTGCCAAAACTAAATTCAAACATAATCTCAACAAATTCCCGGGTTATTTTTAGCTAAAATATCAAAATTTGGTTTTAGTTTGATTGGTGCAGCATAAGGCGGGCCAGATTGAATTACCCAGTGGGGGGGCAGCTTTGGCCTGCGAACCCAGCGTTTGTTGAAAACAGGAATGAACCAGGTCCTTCCAAATTTGCATATTTCTGAATATTAGTGGCGGCTTAAAGGTGCATTTAGTAAAATTTGGAGAAAAAGCCTTGGCTGACGAACTCAAGCCAATCTAATACTCACTCTTCAACTGTTTTTAATCAATGTGGATTAACTTGCAACTTAGAATGAAGAACCCTATACTAGACGGCTTTATCAAAAATTACATTTATTACAATCAAAATATAGACATCTACATTAAAACAATTTGATATGAAGTATAGAACAAAACAGTGGAGTAAATGAATTCTATAAAAATAGGTAAGTCAAAATAATTAGTGTGATATCTAGGTACCTTTTCGAACACTCTGAATAAAGAAGGATAGGCTTAGCGTTACAGACCCAAAATCACATTGTAGTAAAGCTACATAAGTAATGTTCGAATCCGTATTGTGCAAAATAAGCAATCAGGGAAGTCTGTTTTGAATGGGTTTCAAGAGAAAATCGTTAATTCATAATTAAATTACAAAAATTACTCAACTTTATCCATGTTGCGTTGGGCAAGAAAATATTTTACACAGTCATGGAATTTTCCAGTCCCAAATCTAACATAAAAAAAAAAGACTGGGAAATGCTAGAAGTGTGAGTCTTCATCAAACATAGTCATGTGAACCAAAATTACCGACTGGAAATTCACAGTCATTATTACATTTGTAAATTTTGTACCCATCTTTGCAAAAGGCTGTTTTATCACACCCCAAAAGCCCAAATTCACAAGTTAAAAATGCACAGTAACATTGTTACAGTGGCAAAGTTGTATATCCTAGCAAATGACTGTTTTATCAGACCTAGGCACAATGTCTAGGTTGCGTAATTTCTTTGTAATATTTTAAGCTTGCTCAATCATTCCATGCACTATTCACTGGTTCTAAGCTCATCTATGAGTTTCTTGGCATGATCTATCACAACCTTAGATTGTGAAAAATATGTTGAAGGTCTCGTTCTTGCCGAAACCATCCTTGGTGAAAAAGCGTATCTCGCTGATGCAGGAAGAGTCGTACTTTGATTCTGTCCAGAGTTGGTAACGAATTCGACCAATTTTTCTTCAGCGTTTTGTTTCAGAAGATCTTTTTTTAGCGAAACGTGCGAGGCCGCGGTGCGAAGCGCAACAAATGCAGCTTGTTTGACGCACATTTGATTGTCCTGTAACGCAACATCAAGCAATCTTTTTAAAGCATGGCTATCTTGTATTGATTCTCTTAGTGACGAGCCCCAGTCGGACAAATTTCCTAATGTGAAAGATACATTCGATCTGGTTTTTGGAGTCGCATCATTCAATAAATTAGTCAAAAGAGGAACTGCTTTTTCCAAATGTTTGCCAAGATCTTTGCTAACAGTTGAAGCTGTATTTCCATCTCCATTACTTTCTGTACATCCCATGTACGCAATATTACCGAATGCAAATGATGCAGATCTTCTGACCATACCTTCGCTCACTGCGAGACATTGATGTAACGATTCAAATATATCAGATTTAATTTTCGACGGCAAATCTTGTATAATGCCTTGATTTTGTTTCCGAAGTAAATTCCCCAAAAGACTGCAAGACTTTGTGCGTACAGTAACATCAGTGGAACTCAAGCATGGAAGAATAGCAGGTGTGCTATCGGAGACACAAGGCTTCAAAACTACATCACTTACAGATTTTGCATTTTCTGGGGTCATTCTTGCTACGTGCCCCAATAAGGACAACAAATCGCAAGTAGTGATAGGCCTTGTTTCTTCATGAATCAGAATGGATGCCAAGCTCTTTGTTACATCCCCTCTGAGACAAGATGTAAACTCACCAAGGCATGACTTGTGACTTAAAGCAAGTCGGCATATCAGTCCAATAGGGACATCGAGTCTAGCATACGGAACAGAACACTTGCATTGGTTCAAAACTATAGAAACAAGATTGACTTCGCAGAGACATTCGAATATTTGATGTAGGAACATTTCATTTGTGTCAATTGCAAATGGGAAGCAGAAACATCTCATCACCTGGAATACCAATGACGATAGTTAAAGTTTGGGCTAAAGATAGTGGTATTCAAGCACATGTTGGGGAGGCTCGATCACCATTAATCAAAGTCCTGGACAAAATCATCATATTCAACTAGGCGCTGAGAATTAACTCAAGCGATTGACTCAACTTGCCCCCGGGTTTAGGAACTTTACCCAATACCCCTTCATTCGTCAAATAAAAATCTAAAGTATAGAAAAGTGCATTTTGATGTAAATTCAGCACAGAAAACAGCACTTCAATATTAACCCTCTCCAGGAACGTGTAACACGTATGCAACAACATATTGTAAACTAGCCATGACCCACATTTCTGCCGCAGAATGCTTTTTCTACTCAACGTACTACTGCGGAACTTAGTTGATTCGATGCAACTGCTATTTTGCGTTGCCGCCGCCTGATGTCGCTGCAAGATGCGGTCTCCGGTACTCGTGTCAGGCTGGTGGACCATATATCTCAAGCAACTATACCAATTAATATATGCCAAATTCGTAATATTTGTGCATGGAGCAAAAGAATAGTGTATACAGAAGCTTTACGAACTGATTGCAACCTCTAACGGTTTATGTGGTTTCACGAGGGGGTGGTTTAAAATTAGCGTTGCATAGGTGCAACATCTTCCCTCAGAAGTGGATTTCGGTTGTTAATCTAATTAGCTAAGATTCGTTTGTTCAGTTTCGTAAATTATGTTGACTTATTGAGCAGATAAAGTAGTTTGAGTTCCCTATGTCATATAAGGTACAATCAGGTATATTCGGATGTAGTATATGAGAATTTGCCGAGTAGGGAAAAATTTGGCTTCCGATAATTTTGTTGTAGACAGAAGATTTAGGAGGCGTGACATAAAGTATGCACTATCTAGTGATATGATTCAGATTTATAACCAAATAAAGTTGAGGTATATTAGCCATAAATACGTGGTTAGAATGATAGAGAAGTGTCTCAGATTGATTCAGATTTTTTATTTGTATTTTCAGCGATCTAGCAGAACAATTGCAAATATGCTAAAGGGTAGAATTTCTGCAGAAATTGCGTTGAATTAGCGCGTATTTCTAATGCCACACCTTCGGATAAAGAAGCAATTGAGACTTACAATTATGAATATGATGACGCTGATCTTGATAAAACACGTAACTTCCAGAACGATATTTATGTAGCTAAGATTTTGAGCCTAAAAAGTCAGACCATTTCAGCATTTTGACTGTTGGAATTTATATGGACAGGCAATAGCTATCTAAAAACGAATCTAAAGTTAAAATTTAGTCGTGTTTTGACAGCCTGAGTGCGGCATCGTTCACCCAGATAAACAGAAAAGCTTCGGGGGAGCACAGTAACTTTTGACAACACCATAAAGGTATTGCAATCCAGTCATAAACCAATCTATACTAATTGCTGAGCAAAACAATAAATGTATACACAAAAATGGAATTGGCCTAAACACAAATGCTGCAGAAAACTACCGCTGGCCGTGTTTTTATAGCGTCATCCAGAGTGGGGACAGGGCCGATCGATAAATTTAAACGAAAGTCTGAAGTAAAAAAGAAGGCATATAGTCCAAAAAATATCAAAATTGTAAATAAACACACAAATTGCCAACGATTTTTCTGCTACCAAAAAATTTGGTTGCTAATTTTTCGCAGCGTAGCGTTATCAAAATGACTTTCACGCTAAGAACTCTATCTCCGATAAAATACATAACAGCAAGTAAATGCAAAATTATTTCGATGTAAAAGCTAGATTTTCTACATTCTTGCATTTTAATATATATGGAAATTCAAAGTTTCAAAATAATTTTAAAGAAATAGGTAAATGAAAGTGTCAAGGGACAGACAACTAGTTTCTCGAGTGCAAAAACATGATCTATATTGACAGTTATTTACATTTCAATGCGCCTTTTAATCATAACTAGTTTTGAATTGAGCCATGAAATAAGTTTGACAATCCATTAATCAAACTTATATTGTCCGCATATTAAATATATCGCATATTAAAACCTAATGATCTTTATCACCTGTAATACAATATCAGTATGTATACTTCCATCTGAATCTTCATCCAACACAGGAGTCTTCACAGTAGGATTCAAATATTTTTTAAATTCTTCTCCCAATAACGCTAACAAGCAAAGAACCACTACTGAATCACTTGCAGAAAGAAGGGGAACACACTGGTATGGTTCAAGAGTGAACACTGCTAAGGCAACCTGGAAAAAATGATAAACAATATACCAGTCGTTTAGTAAGTGAACTTTGGTTGGGT